GCAACAGAACGGAAGTTCTGATTGGATGAACAATGTGTCATGTGTTTATCTTATGTGGATCAGGATGTCTAGCATTCATTACACATAAATCATACATTGTGATTTCACAGATCAGTCACCTGATTATTATTGACCAACAGTTGTTTTGATTAGCTTTATTAAAAATAAAGTTCTTTGATTAACTAATGAAAAACGTTCTTCGTCCTTCTTCTGTTTTCTTTGCTAGAATGTAAACATCAGAAGCAAGCGCACGACCTTGGCAATTTATGCACACTGTCACTGTGTCAAAGGGCAGCTGTTAAGGGCAGAAAATAGCATATTCATAACGCTACACTTGTTTAAAAAGTTTTAAAATGATCAGACACCCCAATTTACAATTAATTCAGTACAAAATTCTACACAGAGTACACTATACAGGTCATCGGATGTTCAAGATGGGGTTTGTGTCATCTGACACTTGTACACACTGCACAAACAACATTCCTGACAATTACATTCATGCACTGTGGTCCTGTCCACCTGTCCAGGAATTTTGGGGTAGAGTATGTGAGGATCTGTCAAAATGTCTGAAATGTCATATCCCAACTTCCCCCTCTCTTTGTTTACTGGGAAGCCTGGACGATGTCCCGATTGAAACATCTTTGGTTCACGTGGTTCTGACTGCCATATGCATCGCTAAGAAAACTATCCTCTTGAATTGGAAAAATAGAGAAACTCTCTGCATTAACCAGTATAGAAATCTTTTGTTAGATCATATTACACTTGATTTAGCCTCTGCTTCCACTTCAAATCAATCTCTCTGGGCTCCTTGGATCGGTTCCATCACATAGCGATGATGGGGGGCCGTTGATGTTGTCCTACGGGATGATGTGGGTGGGGGGGTGGAGGGTCTTAGTTTGGAGTATCCGGATGTTCCCTGGAGGTGGGTTCACTGGGGGTGTCTGGGACTGGGGGGCCGTTGCCCCCCTCTGGAGGTGCTTGGGTTTGCCTCGGGGGGTGGACTCATGGCGGTTGTGAGTGGGGCCCCTTGGAGGTCTTGGCGGCGGCCATGGATCACTGCCTGGCAGTTGCATTGCCCCTGGGCGGGCCTGGGTGGGGGCCTGGGGGCTCGGGGTGTGGGGGTGGCCGGTCCTGTGTGGGGATCTGGGCGTGGCCTTGGGGGTCGGGTCCTGACATGTATGCTGCCGGGAAGAAGGCAGGAACATGCAGCAGTGCCTGGCCCGGGTTCAGGGGTCTCGAGTAGACTTGGCTCCTCTGCTGTTCCATCACAGGGGAGGGGGAGGTCCAGGAGGGGGAGGACCCAACCTTACCTGGATGTCCTATGTCTTATATATTCTGGAAGTTGTGCAAATGCAGGGATGGGCATAGATATTCTGCTGGTGTGGGGCTGGGTTGGTGCCCTCGAACTCTGTGAGGCTCTGTAATGCTGCTGCTTTGGGCCCTGGCAGGATGGGCTGGGGTCTCCATGCCCTGGGTGGCAATTTGACAACAGAGGTGCCTATTGGGGCCAGTGGGGGAGCTGGCTCCCTGGAGGGCTCAGCCCAACTGTTAAACATCCTTAGTAAAACCAAACACGGCTCTAACTTTGTACAGGTCATCATGGGCGATATTACACATAATTGGACAAACTATTGACTAAAACAACTACAACTCCATTGTTTCTCAACATTAGATGATCTTAGTTTAAAATTTAAGCATTTAAGATGTACCAGACTTTCATTTTAGTTTCTCACATCACACTTTGGTCATTCACACAATCAATGAAAAACATTATCATAGCCTGTAATTAGGGCTGCAACAACGAATCGATAAATTCGATGAAAATCGATTACTAAAAGCGTTGGCAACGAATTGCGTCATCGATTCGTTGTGTCGCACAACTCTTCCAAAAGCGCCCCCCCCCCCCCCCCCCCCCCCCCCCCCCCCCCCCCCCCCCCCCCCCCCCCCCCCCCCCCCCCCCCCCCCCCCCCCCCCCCCCCCCCCCCCCCCCCCCCCCCCCCCTCCCGCCCGCCGTTGCGCGCAGACCAGAGCAAGTCAGATCAGCGCGAGGCAGAGCCGGCAGATCAGCGCAAGGGAGAGCCGCAGGTCAGCGCGAGGGAGAGCCGCAGATCAGCGTGAGGGAGAGCCGGCAGATCAGCGCGAGGGAGAGCCGCAGATCAGCGCGAGGGAGAGCCGGTACAGGCAGATCAGCGCGAGGGAGAGCCGGCAGACTTGCGCTGCTGCGAACCGGTTCCGCATTGACGCGCAGCGATCCAGGCAGCTGCTTCCAGCGCACGGTCCATTCTCAAAGTGGCGCAACCAAAAAACTATAATTAGCACACGATCGTTCATGTCCGCACATGTTCTCTATTTTCTGTCTTATTTGTGCCTGAAGCTCGCTACTGCGGAGCTCATCACCTGTGCTGTGGTGATTTCACCTCACGCAGCATCGAAAACGCGCTCTGCGCTTTTCGGTCAGGAGATCTTTGATCTGCTCAAAAGTAACTGATGAGGTGAAAAGGTAAGAATCCAGGCAACAGATTTTCTGGAGAATTATGAGGAGATGCAGGAAGATGAGAGACAGACAGGACAGGAAAATAGTTCAATAAAAACAAGAAAACAAAACAAAGTGTTGAAAAGTCAAATGTAGGTAGATTTATCTCCACTACACGTTTTTACCAGTAAAAAACAATAAGTTATACACATGTCATATTTATACATCTGATACAATTCAGATCACCTTCAAAACTCAGTCACACACCCAGGGCCGTTTCAAGACATTTTGGGGCCAAGGCAAAATGCCCCCCCCCCCCCCCCATAACTGGGCTCCCCAGAAGCCTCTGTGTAATTCATGCCCTCTCCAGGAGTGTTAGTTATACAGTGTTTATAAAAGCCCCTCAGACATTACTGACATGTTCTAATATGATCAGATGAAAAACTAAATTATCAGACATGCTGTCTCATCTGCTTCTTTTAAAAACTTGCAAAACGTAACAAAACTATTTGAAAGCCACTATTTGTGGATTCTCAGAAAGTTTCCATGGAGTGTGGGACAACTTATTTTTTCATTGATCCTATCGTCTAATCTCACAGCTGAAACAAGCATCCTTAATAATCTGTGCACAGGAAGCTTACCGATGCTGTAGTAAAACAAAAGGTATAATAATTTATTATTACTAAAACCTTGTTGCAGCACTAAAGCATAAAAATGAGATTTTGCATTAAATATGCAAAATATTTACATATGAATTGTTTTAGAGCCCTTTAATTGGCAGAATCTGATATTAATTTAGTTCTTACAAAAAATGGGTCCCAACATGGTTTGTGTGGCGTTGCCATAGTGTGACGTCATAGGCACAGATCCCCTGTCCTCTTGTTTGGAAATGGAAATATGGTCACCCTATATTAAACAAACTGTCCACCCGGGCTTTTGCGCTGCACAGAGACGCTTCGCTGCCTACGACTGAATGTCAGTTGAGAGTCAGTCTCATGCAGACTGACCAATGAAGAGAGGGCCTCAAGTTAAGACCCTCTCCTCATTGGTCAGTTCACACGAGGTGGGTCAAAGGTTACTCTGGGCGGGTTACGTGTTGTCAGGCATTCAAGTATTGAGTATATTTACTGCATATTACAGTAAAATATTCTGTATGTGACCACATTATGGTGATCCTTGGGTCGTGATGATGGAGCCCTTGAATATTGTTGCCCAGGGTACAACAAAGTGTTAATCTGGCCCTGGTTCCGCCGTCACATTCCCGCAGAAACTGGTTGATCACACCGGGGCCAGACTACTAGTATGTGGTTTTACAACCACAATGTCCTCAGAAGCAAAAACGCTTTTAAAAGGGAGGGAGGAGTCCTAACTGTTGCTGCAGGCGTGTTGTGTGAGAGTGCAGTTATATACTGGTTAATATATTTTTGGGTTCAGTTGCTTTCATGTGGCCTAATGTGAGTCTATTTGGGATCATTGGAATGATCAGCAGCATTTCTTGATGTGACTTTATGGCAGTTGCCCAGGGCATCATCGCAAGGAGGATGGCATTCATTTACTTTTGTTTTATTTGGTATTTTTTCAGTCAGTTTTGGAAATAGTGATCAATTTTGATTAATTCACAGCCTATGTTTAATTACATTTAAAATAAATGTCAACAGATGAGATCAAACAAAACAGATGAGAATTGCCCTTAAGCAGTTTAACTTGGACCAAGCATTTTAGGTCACAGATAGATGTAGCTTAGGGTCTCTGTCTATACACCTTATAAGTCAATTTAGGTGATGGCATGCTGTTTTTCTGCTATTGAACTGTTTTCTAATAATGTTGTGTTAAATAAAGTGAAGGAAGGAGAGAAATAACGTTTCCCTAGCAGTTTTTAAAAATTTCCCATGTAATCCGATTAATCGATTAATCGTGTCGAGACCCCATCCGATTAATCGATTATCCAAATAATCGTTTGTTGCAGCCCTACCTGTAATCACTTGCTCAAAACAACTAAGAGATCAAAGAAGTCTCTGCTTCCCATTTCTATAAAAAATGACCTAGCAAACATTTGTGGATTCCTCACATGCACAGTAAACACTTCAAGATATTTGTATTAATAACCTGTTGAACCCCTGCAGCGGATGCATGCCTGCAGCACACCACATGAACTAAAGGTAGAAAAATGGAGATGTACATTACATTGTTGCCAATATTGTGCCACTTATTCAACCATCTGCTTTTGGGTGAGCCAGTCCACGAGTGTCGACTGGACAGAGTGAAAGTAATATGGTTGCATTGTGGCGCTGTTGGTAGCACTATTGTCTCTGGAAAGAGGTTGCATGTTCAAAAGCTGCCTGTGACATTTCAGCGTGGAGAGTCTTTTTTCTGAGTTCTCTAGTTTCTTCCAACAGAACCAAAAACATAATCAACTGTATTGCTTTACTCTCAATCATACGTCACTTTGAATAAAAACTGTCTTCTAAATAAATAAACACACAAATAAGAAGTGAGCAGTTTCTAAGCAGCTTTTTTGTGTTTCCAGATGGACAGATGCCAGCGTCGTCTGGAGCAGGGCCTGTTGCCATGGCCTGAGATGGAGGAAGAGTTGAGAAGGATGGTCCAGGATAAGAAGAAGAGACAGAAGGACAAAGAAGAGAAGCAGAGGGTAAACGTAGAAACAGAGCGAAGCAGCAACAAGAAACTAAAGCACATTCCCAAAAGCACACCAGCGGGAATCTTTTCAAGCAAGCACCAAAAAGTGGTCCATATTTAGGGATTAAGTATGTATAAAATCAGTCCAGCTGACTGCTTTATGCATTATTTTGCTGCTTCCAGCCACAGGTTCATAAATGCACATGTCCAAATATCTCAAAATAGGAGACAATCTGCAAAAACATGTTCATTTTGGGTCACTCTCATTTGAGCATTTGACACTTTTTGGTTTTTGACCCCAAAAATGTTCTTTTCTTGTTTATCAGCCATTTCAGTTTTACATTCAAAGCCATTCCCGTCTGCTTTCTGTGCGCTCCTCACATCACACGCCAGCTGATAAACTGTCCGTGTCCATGAGAAAACCGCCATCCCTTTGAAGTCTCCGTGAGATTTTGCCACAGTTCATTTGCATGCTGTTGTGTGTTGGAAGTCAAAGAGAGCGTCACAAGGAAATGTACACAATTGAACCAGATTTTTTTTCTCGGCAGGGCTCCACACAGATTACGCATTGATCCATCACCCACATTGGGTTTGAATCAATCCTGCCTGCTGCTGTCTGTGTTCTGTCAACCGCGCTATCGACTTTATTGGAAAAGGAAAAAGGAACTTTTCCTTCCTCAGTAAAAAAAATACACCCCCAACTAAAGTATCTTAAAGTGTGTTTACTTTTTTATCTGCACCATTTACAGATAGTTTTGGTCAGTTTAGTTTTAAGTGTTCCTGAACCACTCATAGATGAGGAAGTTTGAGCTTCAGCTTGTGTTTCATCTGTTCAGAGGTTTCATTGTAGAGAAATGGAGCACACTTTGAAACAATTTTTCAACATCTTTGGTAGTTTACAAGCACTGGATCCCAAAAGACCAAAATTATTTTAGCCTCAAAAGAAAAGTTTAGCTTAATATTTGGTTTGTGAACTCTTTGAAAAACTAAAAATATTTTTACAATCATTCTTTGTTCTAAAGATGAATTACAGTCTGTAAGTCAAACTGATAAACAGTCTGTTTAGCCTGGCAAGCCATCCAACATGTATATCCCAGTCATTGGGCTGAATACGTTTCTCCTTCAGACTGTCTCAGATTGCATTTGGACAGCACTTGGATCAATTGAAGTAACAAACAATGTGAAATACTCGCCACTACAGATGTCAGTCAACAGGGCAGTCTGCCATATGCTATCAAAGAAGCAAATTTGTCTGTTTTTTAAATAAAAAACTTAAGTAGCGCTACATGTCTCAAAGACAAGCCAAATGGTCCAAAGTTGCTGCCAAAGCCACATCAAACGAGGCCATTTTTGTAGTTTATCACCGTTACAGCTCTAGCATTAAGCTCACCTTACAAACATAGAGCGCTGTGATTGGCAAGACACAAAACTGTTGAGGCCGTTAGACTGACCTGCAGAGCAAAAAAAGCTTCAGCTATGGTTTGTCTAGATTCAATCAATGCTTTATTATTTTGTCTTTGAGCGTCCATCCTGCTTTTGGTGTGAACGAGGCTTGAGTTAGTGGCTTTTCAGTCTGCATCTTGGTAAATCCAGTCTTGGATTGCTTTCAAAGATGATCTTCTAGCTTTTAGCTGTTTGGAGATGGCCTTCTAGCTTTTAGCTGTTTGGAGATGGTCTTCTAGCTTTTAGCTGTGTGGAGTTCGTCTTCTAGCTTTTAGCTGTTTGGAGATGGTCTTCTAGCTTTTACCTGTTTGGAGATGGTCTTCTAGCTTTGACCTGTTTGGAGATGGTCTTCTAGCTTTTAGCTGTTTGGAGATGGTCTTCTAGCTTTTAGCTGTTTGGAGATTATCTTCTAGCTTTTAGCTGTTTGGAGATGGTCTTCTAGCCTTTAACTATTTGGAGATGGTCTTCTAGCTTTTACCTGTTTGGAGATTATCTTCTAGCTTTTAGCTGTTTGGAGATGGTCTTCAAGCATTTAGCTGTGTGGAGATGGTCTTCAAGCATTTAGCTGTTTGGAGGTGGTCTTCTAGCTTTTAGCTGTTTGGAGGTGGTCTTCTAGCTTTTAGCTGTGTGAAGATGGTCTTCTAGCTTTTAGCTGTGTGAAGATGGTCTTCTAGCTTTTAGCTGTTTGGAGATGGTCTTCTAGCTTTTACCTGTTTGGAGATGGTCTTCTAGCTTTTAGCTGTTTGGAGATGGTCTTCTAGCTTTTAGCTGTGTGGAGATGGTCTTCTAGCTTTTAGCTGTGTGGAGATGGTCTTCTAGCTTTTAGCTGTGTGGAGATGGTCTTCTAGCTTTTAGCTGTGTGGAGATGGTCTTCTAGCTTTTAGCTGTGTGGAGATGGTCTTCTAGCTTTTAGCTGTGTGGAGATGGTCTTCTAGCTTTTAGCTGTGTGGAGATGGTCTTCTAGCTTTTAGCTATGTGAAGATGGTCTTCTAGCTTTTAGCTGTTTGGAGATGGTCTTCTAGCTTTTAGCTGTGTGGAGATGGTCTTCTAGCTTTTAGCTATGTGAAGATGGTCTTCTAGCTTTTAGCTATGTGAAGATGGTCTTCTAGCTTTTAGCTGTTTGGAGATGGTCTTCTAGCTTTTAGCTGTGTGGAGATGGTCTTCTAGCTTTTAGCTGTGTGGAGATGGTCTTCTAGCTTTTAGCTGTGTGGAGATGGTCTTCTAGCTTTTAGCTGTGTGGAGATGGTCTTCTAGCTTTTAGCTGTGTGGAGATGGTCTTCTAGCTTTTAGCTGTGTGGAGATGGTCTTCTAGCTTTTAGCTGTTTGGAGATGGTCTTCTAGCTTTTACCTGTTTGGAGATGGTCTTCTAGCTTTTACCTGTTTGGAGATGGTCTTCTAGCTTTTAGCTGTTTGGAGATGGTCTTCTAGCTTTTAGCCGTGTGGAGATGGTCTTCTAGCCTTTAACAATTTGGAGATGGTCCTCTAGCTTTTAGCTGTTTGGAGATGATCTTCTAGCTTTTAGCTGTTTGGAGATGGTCTTCTAGCTTTTAGCTGTTTGGAGACGGTCTTCTAGCTTTTAGCTGTGTGGAGATGGTCTTCTAGCTTTTAGCTGTGTGGAGATGGTCTTCTAGCTTTTAGCTGTGTGGAGATGGTCTTCTAGCTTTTAGCTGTGTGGAGATGGTCTTCTAGCTTTTAGCTGTTTGGAGATGGTCTTCTAGCTTTTAGCTGTGTGGAGATGGTCTTCTAGCTTTTAGCTGTGTGAAGATGGTCTTCTAGCTTTTAGCTGTTTGGAGATGGTCTTCTAGCTTTTAGCTGTTTGGAGATGGTCTTCTAGCTTTTAGCCGTGTGGAGATGGTCTTCTAGCCTTTAACAATTTGGAGATGGTCCTCTAGCTTTTAGCTGTTTGGAGATGGTCTTCTAGCTTTTAGCTGTTTGGAGATGGTCTTCTAGCTTTTAGCTGTTTGGAGATGGTCTTCTAGCTTTAAGCTGTTTGGAGATGGTCTTCTAGCTTTTAGCTGTGTGGAGATGGTCTTCTAGCTTTTAGCTGTGTGGAGATGGTCTTCTAGCTTTTAGCTGTGTGGAGATGGTCTTCTAGCTTTTAGCTGTGTGGAGATGGTCTTTTAGCTTTTAGCTGTTTGGAGATGGTCTTCTAGCTTTTAGCTGTTTGGAGATGGTCTTCTAGCTTTTACCTGTTTGGAGATGGTCTTCTAGCTTTTAACTGTGTGGAGATGGTCTTCTAGCTTTTAGCTGTTTGGATATGGTCTTCTAGCTTTTAGCCTTGTGGAGATGGTCTTCTAGCCTTTAACAATTTGGAGATGGTCCTCTAGCTTTTAGCTGTTTGGAGATGATCTTCTAGCTTTTAGCTGTTTGGAGATGGTCTTCTAGCTTTTAGCTGTTTGGAGATGGTCTTCTAGCTTTTAGCTGTGTGGAGATGGTCTTCTAGCTTTTAGCTGTGTGGAGATGGTCTTCTAGCTTTTAGCTGTGTGGAGATGGTCTTCTAGCTTTTAGCTGTTTGGAGATGGTCTTCTAGCTTTTAGCTGTGTGGAGATGGTCTTCTAGCTTTTAGCTGTGTGAAGATGGTCTTCTAGCTTTTAGCTGTTTGGAGATGGTCTTCTAGCTTTTAGCTGTTTGGAGATGGTCTTCTAGCTTTTACCTGTTTGGAGATGGTCTTCTAGCTTTTAGCTGTTTGGAGATGGTCTTCTAGCTTTTAGCCGTGTGGAGATGGTCTTCTAGCCTTTAACAATTTGGAGATGGTCCTCTAGCTTTTAGCTGTTTGGAGATGATCTTCTAGCTTTTAGCTGTTTGGAGATGGTCGTCTAGCTTTTAGCTGTTTGGAGATGATCTTCAAGCTTTTAGCTGTGTGGAGTTGGTCTTCTAGCTTTTAGCTCTGTGGAGATGGTCTTCTAGCTTTTAGCTGTGTGGAGATGGTCTTCTAGCTTTTAGCTGTTTGGAGATGGTCTTCTAGCTTTTAGCAGTTTGGAGATTGTCTTCTAGCTTTTACCTGTTTGGAGATGGTCTTCTAGCCTTTAACTATTTGGAGATGGTCTTCTAGCTTTTACCTGTTTGGAGATTATCTTCTAGCTTTTAGCTGTTTGGAGATGGTCTTCAAGAATTTAGCTGTTTGGAGATGGTCTTCAAGCATTTAGCTGTTTGGAGATGGTCTTCTAGCTTTTAGCTGTTTGGAGGTGGTCTTCTAGCTTTTAGCTGTGTGAAGATGGTCTTCTAGCTTTTAGCTGTGTGGAGATGGTCTTCTAGCTTTTAGCTGTTTGGAGATGGTCTTCTAGCTTTTAGCTGTTTGGAGATGGTCTTCTAGCTTTTACCTGTTTGGAGATGGTCTTCTAGCTTTTACCTGTTTGGAGATGGTCTTCTAGCTTTTACCTGTTTGGAGATGGTCTTCTAGCTTTTAGCTGTATGGAGATGGTCTTCTAGCTTTTAGCCGTGTGGAGATGGTCTTCTAGCCTTTAACAATTTGGAGATGGTCCTCTAGCTTTTAGCTGTTTGGAGATGATCTTCTAGCTTTTAGCTGTTTGGAGATGGTCTTCTAGCTTTTAGCTGTTTGGAGATGATCTTCAAGCTTTTAGCTGTGTGGAGTTGGTCTTCTAGCTTTTAGCTGTGTGGAGATGGTCTTCTAGCTTTTAGCTGTGTGGAGATGGTCTTCTAGCTTTTAGCTGTTTGGAGATGGTCTTCTAGCTTTTAGCTGTTTGGAGATGGTCTTCTAGCTTTTAGCTGTTTGGAGATGGTCTTCTAGCTTTTAGCTGTGTGAAGATGGTCTTCTAGCTTTTAGCTGTGTGAAGATGGTCTTCTAGCTTTTAGCTGTGTGGAGATGGTCTTCTAGCTTTTAGCTGTTTGGAGATGGTCTTCTAGCTTTTAGCTGTTTGGAGATTATCTTCTAGCTTTTACCTGTTTGGAGATGGTCTTCTAGCCTTTAACTATTTGGAGATGGTCTTCTAGCTTTTACCTGTTTGGAGATTATCTTCTAGCTTTTAGCTGTTTGGAGATGGTCTTCAAGCATTTAGCTGTTTGGAGATGGTCTTCAAGCATTTAGCTGTTTGGAGATGGTCTTCTAGCTTTTACCTGTTTGGAGATGGTCTTCTAGCTTTTAGCTGTTTGGAGATGGTCTTCTAGCTTTTAGCCGTGTGGAGATGGTCTTCTAGCTTTTAGCTGTTTGGAGATGGTCTTCTAGCTTTTACCTGTTTGGAGATGGTCTTCTAGCTTTTAGCTGTGTGGAGATGGTCTTCTAGCTTTTAGCCGTGTGGAGATGGTCTTCTAGCCTTTAACAATTTGGAGATGGTCCTCTAGCTTTTAGCTGTTTGGAGATGATCTTCAAGCTTTTAGCTGTTTGGAGATGGTCCTCTAGCTTTTAGCTGTTTGGAGATGATCTTCAAGCTTTTAGCTGTGTGGAGTTGGTCTTCTAGCTTTTAGCTGTGTGGAGATGGTCTTCTAGCTTTTAGCTGTGTGGAGATGGTCTTCTAGCTTTTAGCTGTTTGGAGATGGTCTCCTAGCTTTTAGCTGTTTGGAGATGGTCTTCTAGCTTTTAGCTGTTTGGAGATGGTCTTCTAGCTTTTAGCTGTGTGAAGATGGTCTTCTAGCTTTTAGCTGTGTGAAGATGGTCTTCTGGCTTTTAGCTGTGTGGAGATGGTCTTCTAGCTTTTAGCTGTTTGGAGATGGTCTTCTAGCTTTTAGCTGTGTGGAGATGGTCTTCTAGCTTTTAGCTGTTTGGAGATGGTCTTCTAGCTTTTACCTGTCTGGAGATGGTCTTCTAGCTTTTAGCTGTTTGGAGATGGTCTTCTAGCTTTTAGCTGTTTGGAGATGATCTTCTAGCTTTTAGCTGTGTGGAGATGGTCTTCTAGCTTTTAGCTGTGTGGAGATGGTCTTCTAGCTTTTAGCTGTGTGGAGATGGTCTTCTAGCTTTTAGCTGTTTGGAGATGATCTTCAAGCTTTTAGCTGTGTGGAGTTGGTCTTCTAGCTTTTAGCTGTGTGGAGATGGTCTTCTAGCTTTTAGCTGTGTGGAGATGGTCTTCTAGCTTTTAGCCGTGTGGAGATGGTCTTCTAGCTTTTAGCCGTGTGGAGATGGTCTTCTAGCTTTTAGCCGTGTGGAGATGCTCTTCTAGCTTTTAGCTGTTTGAGGATGCTCTTCTAGCTTTTAGCCGTGTGGAGATGGTCTTCTAGCCTTCAGCCGTGTGGAGATGGTCTTCTAGCTTTTAGCTGTTTGGAGATGGTCTTCTAGCTTTTAGCCGTGTGGAGATGGTCTTCTAGCTTTTAGCTGTTTGAGGATGCTTTTCTAGCTTTTAGCCGTGTGGAGATGCTCTTCTAGCTTTTAGCTGTTTGGAGATGGTCTTCTAGCTTTTAGCTGTTTGAGGGTGCTCTTCTAGCTTTTAGCCGTGTGGAGATGCTCTTCTAGCTTTTAGCTGTTTGAGGATGCTCTTCTAGCTTTTAGCCGTGTGGAGATGGTCTTCTAGCCTTCAGCCGTGTGGAGATGGTCTTCTAGCTTTTAGCTGTTTGGAGATGGTCTTCTAGCTTTTAGCTGTTTGGAGATGGTCTTCTAGCTTTTAGCCGTGTGGAGATGGTCTTCTAGCTTTTAGCTGTTTGGAGATGCTCTTCTAGCTTTTAGCTGTTTGAGGGTGCTCTTCTAGCTTTTAGCCGTGTGGAGATGCTCTTCTAGCTTTTAGCTGTTTGGAGATGGTCTTCTAGCTTTTAGCTGTGTGGAGATGGTCTTCTAGCTTTTAGCCGTGTGGAGATGCTCTTCTAGCTTTTAGCTGTTTGGAGATGGTCTTCTAGCTTTTAGCTGTGTGGAGGTGGTCTTTTAGCTTTTAGCTGGGGATGATCTTCTATTTTCTATTTTTAACATGCTGGTCAGTAACAGTCTTTCATTTCTGCTGAGACAACTCTGTCCTGAGCTTTCTATGGTCCATGTTCAGTGTGGTACACACTCTCACCCCAAACAGCACTGTGACAACTTTTGTTTTAAACCAACTGACTACAAGACCGAAGGCACCTGGAATGCAAAATACAGAACACACCTTAGTTTAACATGTCCTTGTGGTCACATTAGTTTTAAATGTTCAAGGTATAGCATTGCTTTTGTCCATTTTATTAGTTTGCTTTTTAAAATTCATCTACTGAACCACAACTGAGATACAACATCTGACTTTTCTTTGTTTTTGGGAAAATCAGTGAAGACTGATGATTGCCTCTTATGTTTGATTACGGCTTTGATAATTTGCTAAACTTTGAACAAAGTATTTCAAAAACCGTGCAGGTGTTGTCTAGAGGACTCCCACACACAAATATCTAAATGATTTTTACAGGAAACAAGCTGACAGTTTTTGGCCAACAATCCTTTTTACATGTTTGGCTCCAACCCCAAATACCAAATGTTGTAATAAGGACCGAACAGACCATCTCTGTTATCTCCAACTTTGACCAACCTTGTTATTCTCTACTCATATTCTGTGTTAGCCAGTGCCCTTGTGTCTGTCTTTAGTTCTTATAAAAGATGAATTGCATTGTTGATTATTCCATTTACTTGATTAAGTTTGGGAAAAGTTTAAAATTCAAGCGTTCCATTCAAGGTCATGCAATCCTGGTTAAATATTAAATCTGCTGCTGGTGTGTTTTCTCTCTCTCTCTCTCTCTCTCTCTCTCTCTCTCTCTCTCTCTCTCTCTCTCTCTCTCTCTCTCTCTCTCTGTGTGTGTGTGTGTGTGTGTGTGTGTGTGTGTGTGTGTGTGTGTGTGTGTGTGTGTGTGTGTGTGTGTGTGTGTGTGTGTGTGTGTGTGTGTGTGTGCAGATTCTTGAGGCAAATGGATGGAACCAGATGCCAAATGGAAAGTATACTACAGCCGAAGCCCGTCCCGACTCTTACATCCCCCAGAACGACCCGCTTGGTCTCCCCAGACCCTACGGAGCCCTGGCCCCTTGCAAACCCACCAAAACAAGGGGCCAACATGAGACACATCCGTGAACCGAGTCTCAGATCCTAGGAAACTGATTAATGACGGCGAAATGAATATTTTTTTTACATATTCAAAGGTATTCACTAAAAATTTACTTGTTAAAATAAAAAATATGAGAATCTGAAGGATGCATTTGAAATTCCAGTGCTAACCAATGCAACCTGTTTCCCGTCTTTATAAATTCATTGACTTTTTTATCATTTGAGCTTCATCTGTTAGCAATTGTTTGGTTTTTGACAAATTTACTGGCAGTGTTTACACTCAGCTTGCAGCAACACTGACAGGAAACACAAGGAATTCTAGGTATGTGTTACATCATTTTCAGCAGCATGGTTTAGTGTAAATTTCACTAATGTTCGGACTTCCCTTACCTCGAAAACAATCCCATTCCTCAGGAATGCCTGGATATTTCCACGCATTTTTCCACCTCGTTGTTGTCTCGCCCTTCACGGCTGTAATCTTTGAATAAATTGTGACGAGTTTAAGCTTTGAGCAAGGATGTGTGTGTGTGTGTGTGTGTGGGGGGGGGGGGGGGGTGCTTGCATAATGCCTGAAATGATAAATCTGGAGGGGAAGCATAGAGAATGACAAAGAGAAAGAGGAATTTAAATGAAGCGGATAGCAGAAAAGGAAAGCAGCAGCAGAAGGGAGTCAAAGTCAGAGCAGGATGAAAGAGGGGTTGTAAATTGAGTCGAGAGTTTAGAGTTGGTTACTTGTGACCGGAATCAAAGCTGGTTCTCTTTGAAGCTCTTTACTAAAGGCTGCGGAAGTCTGTCAGCAACTGCAAAAGTAATGTAGCTGAAAATAAAGAAAACATTCTTAAAAAGTAATAAATAACTTCAAATAAAGAGAGTATATAAAGTTTCGAAAGTCCTAAATTGGTTATGGAACAGCTGGTGTGCTACCAGGTAGACCTGCTGCTGCTGCTGAGTCAACCCAGTGGTGTGCGTTCGTCCACGACACAATCATGCTGGAAGCTGTCAGATTAACTCAACCCCTTGCTGTTAAGCTGATACATAACACTGACTGCATAACAGTGTGTGTGTTTGTGTGTGAGTGTGTGTGTGTGGGGGTAAATTTGTTTCTTCATGATCACATTTATTTTACACCCCTCCCCCTAAGAAATGAAGTTTAAATTAACAAATGGTTCCAGTGTCTCTAAGCTTTGAGCGTGCAGCAGAGCGTGTTTGTCACTAAATATGACTCAGCTGAGTTTGGCGAAATTCTGCTGGGTTTGTCCCAAACGCTTTAGGATTCTGACAGCTCACTTCCTCCTCCTCAGAGCCTTTCATGAACTCTGGAATTTGTTTCTGTTTGTCTCCAGGCTTCAAAGCAGTGGCAGATCTACAGATTTTACTTTCGGTGGCAAATTTGTGGGGTATAACTCCTGCAAGGGGGCGAAGGTTATTGCTGCCCCAACAGTGTGCCTTTAAACTGTAATAAGTTTAATGGATTTTGAAACAAAAAGTTATTTTAATTTAGTTTTGTGCACGTTTTTAAATATATTTTCTTCTCACTTGGTATTCTAAAGGTTTAGGTTATTACTCCTAGCATAAATCGGTGATGTGTCCTATTAGCATTCATGCTAATGTTGATGCTACTCTGTGCTGGAGTAAAGAAAAGATGAAATCAATAAAAAATATTTTACGTACCTCTTTTGATATTTTTCTTTGAATAATTTCAGTATGTGGTTTCATACATTAGTTATTAGCTCTTCACTGAGAGAACTTTAATTTTGTTGGCGACATTTTGTAGTTTAAAATAAGAGGGTTTCTATTTTATAAAAATCTACAGTACATGTAGTTTTATACAGTAGCAGCTGCCACTCTGTGCCACCCAGTTTCCCACTTCAGAAACACTTCCAACTCCTGTGCCACCATCGCTGAGGTTAAACGATCTCAAAAAGCAACAGTCATTGTAACAACAGTCAAACACGGTGGTGTACGCATCATGGAGCCACCAATCCTGCTTGTTACCAGTAAATCTTGATTGAGAACGACTAACCTTTGACTGTTGAAGACTAAAAGAAGAAAAGATTTTTTACAGTGCTTCTTAAGTTTAAAATGACAAAGACTGCAGGTGGCTAAACAACTTTAAAACTTGGAAATGAAGAGAAGGAAATTCAGTAAAAATATATTTATTTACATTGCATTTATTCAGGTTTTTACTGTAAACTTTGATTAGGAAATCCCTTTTTTCTTTAAAAAAAAATACTGGAAAATCAGTCCAGTCATGGATAAGAAATATAAAAATATTTTTAGTAAGAACTTGTAGAGGAAACAACTGTAAAACGATTAAAAGCACATCCTCTACACTTTAATTATTAACCACCTTGTTCTGTTTATCAAAAGCAGTGATTTACTTTCCTCCCCCAGAAGCAAAGTTAAATCCAGGTACTTGGTAAAACGTCAGAGTACCACTCTGTGCATTTATGCATTCTGCTGCAAAGCTTCTGTACAAATCAGTGTCAAAATCTGATTTAATGCACAGCAGACCGTATCGAGCCTCGCTGTCTGCAGCGCTTTTGTCAGCACGTAATCAAGTTGATGGGATGTAGCGGCGTTACAGGAAGCACAGCAGGAGGGGATTTTAAAAAAACACACGTTTGATTTATAAATACAGTTAATGTTTGATGTCGATGCTTATTAATCATATGGAAGGAAGGCAATTGGGTTGTAGCTTGTGGGGAGACGTTGTAGAGCTGCCTGTGGTAAATACATTTTTCTCCAGCTGAAACTGTGTCCCTGAGTTTTTGTTTGGTTACTGGCAGCATGCTGCCCGGCCAAAACACAAGTAGCCATAAAAAAAAAGGTCACACACTAATATTTTGTTGGACCACCCTTAGCTTTGATTACAGCACACGTGTGCTCCTTTATTTTATAATAAAGTGCTGCTCTGCCTCTAGCATGGCTGCATGTTTGCTTTTCTTTTTTAAATTAAGTGAATTCTGCAGGTCATTTAGTAAACTGCAAAGATAGTTTATGAGCAATCTGCCGCAAAAATTTCATTTTCCCATCCCACAAACAGGTTTTCCTCGTCAACCATCGCAGCCCTCGACACATCCTTCATTTAGTCTCAGAGCCCAGCAGGATCAGCGTCTGCATCAGAGCCGTCTCCTCCACGAACCTGGCGTCCACGTTCTCCTGTTCCTCGAACGGGTTTGAAGCTGCATGAAGGGAAGACGGAAAATAAAACACCACCTTAAAAACTCTCTGCTCCTCAGAGATAGAGGCTTTTGCATTTATGTCCCCACAATAAATCCTCCAACAGAACTGGACACACACACACACACACACACACACACACACACTACCCTTTGCTTCAATATCAGAGAGCATTTTTGCCAAGTAGGTAAGAGGCAGAAACTCTGGTCTGAAGCCAGGCTTGTCTCTCCCGGTGAAATGAAATCCCTGAGGAGAAAAAGGTAAAAAAAAATAAAAAAAAAGACACATTAAGACATTTCTGCTGCAGCAACTGAGACGAGTCACCTTAACTCGTCACAACAAACACAATCCTCACCTTAGATTTGTTGTGCTTCTCCAGCAGAGTTTTGACATAATCTCTGGAGATTGAGGCCGAACTGACAGGATGATCCCACATGTGACAGATCCTCTGCTCCATATGCTACACACACACACATGTTTATATTTAAGGCATGTCGTTCATGTTTCCATGGAAAACACAAAACTGATCCCCGGTGACTGTGAACAGCTGTCTTTATTTTTTTCCTGCCAAATGGAAAGCGTCATCGAGGAGCGGACTGCTAATGAGGGCTTCCAGAGAAATAATAAATCACGCTTAAGCAAACAGACACTACAGGTGTGAGTGACGGGAGGAGAAAATACAGCCTTTTCCTCCAGTTTACTCTAAAACATGCAGAGCTGATGAATAGCTGCTGAATCACAAATGTGAAACAAAAACTTTCTGTTCCCTTGGAAATTAGAATAACTTTCTATACTTTACCATCAGAACACAAACTTTTAATCTGGCTATTTGTTTTTATTTATTAGTTACTAGATTTGGTCTTACTGGGTGTGGTGTACGCCCATGCAACAAAAGCTACACACAAACATTTCCAAACATGGCGAAGGAGGAGCATGCAGCATGCTTCCTTAACCTTGGTTTCTGATGATTGGCTACATGTCACATTTAAAAGGCAGCGTGTTTGCTTCCCCTTGAAAATCAGAACAAGACGATTCAATGTGTTTAATGTCCCCAGTGTATGATCTGAGCAGTCCCAACATATTTCTGAGCAGACCAGAGCACTCTTAACGCACCACACATGGCAGGAATATCTGATAAGATTATCTTTAGGACCATCATGGTAATCGAGCAACCAGACACAAAACAGTCTATTGGTCTGATCACAATGTAAACAAAACACAGACAGAATTTCCACAAAAAGGGACAATGTGGAAGTTACAGCACCTAACATCCTGTCCACACACACACACACACACCCCAGCTGGTTACACAAGTGTTCTGCGATGAGCCCAAGGGGGGCTTCAGGGAGACGAGACCTAAAATAACTTCAATCTCATAATTGGAGCAGAGCGGGAAGTTTGGGGAGAGAGCCACAAGAGGAAAGATGAACATTACCGCCAGTCGAAGAAAACGATGGACGCTGCTTTCCTGGAATTTTTGCTTCCTGCAGACCTTATTGACCCGGCTGTTGCTTTACCATTTCTGGTTTCTGTACTTTTGTGGCTGGCAGCCATTTATTTTTTCTCCTACTCGTTTTTCTAAACTCAAGGCTGAAGAAAAATTGATTGTTAAGTTTTAGGCTTAAATAATTATTTATATAAAATCTCCTGTAAAATGTAGAAATCATTTTTGTTTGTTTGAGGCTTTTATCTTTCATAGGAATAATTTACTACCTTCTACTGGGCATCAGTGTAATTGTAGAGACCCACCCCCCCACCCCCCCACCCCCCACCCACCCACCCACACACACACACACACACACACACACACACACAAACACCCTTTACCCGAGGGAGTCTCTTGAGTATGCTGAACTTCAAACTCTCGTTGGCATCACTGTTGTCCAAATCTAAACACAAAAATGAGAAAAATATCAGAAAATATGTCCTTTGTTACTCCTCTGGACGCAATTCCTACATCATCTTTGCACAACTTACCCTGAACACAAAGATGTGCTTCAGGAACTGATCCATATCTACACTGGGCATTTGTTTACCTTTAGAATGTATGTAGATGAGAACATCACGAGTCTGCACCAGACTGCTGTTTGTAACCAAAGAGCAGCATATTCTGGTTCTGCCGTGTCACAGCATCGGGTCTATAAGGGTCCACTTTTATGTAAACTGTTTGACCTTTTTTATGAGTCAGTCTGGTAAACAGGTAACAGCATGCTGTTAAAACCTTGTTACCATGGCAGCCAGCCACCACACAGTGTACGGTGACCTGCTTTTACAGGTTCACAAGTCAGGACTCCACTATAAGCAGCAGCTATACATTGTGTTGAATAAACTGGACATCACACTGATTTCTTAATGGTGAAGGACATTCTGTCGAAACATTAGTTTTTTTTTCTTACACCTAATAAATTATACGATTGAACCGAGAGCTCTGGCCCTTTCCCTGTTTGTTTTGTGATTTCTTAATGATTCTTTGGTGTAACAGAACTACTCTAGAGCAGGACTATTCAGTTCCGGGCCTTGAGGGCTGGTGTCCTGCACGTTTTTGTGGTTTCTCTGCTCCCACACACTGGATTCAGTGGTTCAATCACCTGTGCATCAGCTCATTCAATTTCAATTCAATTCAAGTTTCTTTGAATAGCGCCACATCACGACAGTTCAAAACTCATCAGTCACCTGTAAAATCAGGTGTGTTGGAGCAGGGTTAGAACTAAAACAAGCTGGATAATGAATTGATTAGGCCTGGTTTATTTTTAGCATTTAATGTTTTTGCAATAAAAATGTAACTCAACCACACCACTAAACAGAAGAAAAAACCCCACTGACATTTGGGAATCTGAAAGATATCAAACAGACACTTTCTGCTAATTATTTAGAACTACTGTCATGGATTTTTGTTTATTTTTGAAGTACTTCCTCTATGGTTTTATTAACTTTCACTGGGATTTGAGGTTTTAGTTTGAAATATTTTTCAAATTCTAATTCTAATTCAAAGATACTTTATTAATCCCAGAGAACTAATCTGCATGTCTCAAGATGTCGCCATCGTCTCGCACCTGTTTCTTATTTATTCTCAGCACACCTGTTCTCACTCACCAATCACCCACACCTGTATATATGCCCCTTTGTTCTGCTCCTTCCTTGTCTTGTTTCTGTGTCATTTCTAGTGTTGTTGCTGTTACTTTTATTTTGGGATTTTGTACTAATTCGTTTTAAGTTTCTGCTCCACTTGGGTCCTGTTTGCAGCTTTATAATGAGAACATGGTTGCATAGAAGTTTAACTCCATATCAAACTAGTTTTTTTTCTGATCTCTTTCAGTTTTCTGGAATTTATTTCTTATCGTTCCATTTTAGAGCTGCTCTCAAGTGCTCATCTGGTTTTGTGGGTCTTTGGGGCAATCTAAACTGATTCACAACAGGTGTGACACTAATCAACCTCCCAGATGGTCGTGGTTGGCAAAATATACTGACCGAAGCTGAGCAGTTCCCAACAATATTTCTTTAAATTAAAATATAACAGATCAGGTATTGATAAGAATTTCATCATAAATACCAGGTGGACTCTGTCCTTTTCTCTAGTAACTGCTGATCTCTTTGTAACTTTAACACAGAAGCCCACAGATGTTCTGAAATGCACATCAGACTGCAGACCGCTAAACCACAACACATTCTAACAAAACGAGTCCATGACAGTGAAGCCGTCACAAGCTCAACAACAGATGGGGCAACAGGTCATCTCCTATTCCACTATGGCTCTTTTTGATGGTGCCCACACCTTTTCCTCCCTCCTTTACAACTGCTCCTCCTCAGGAACCCCTGCGACTGTCTGTCTTTCTCCCTGGTACATCGCTGCTGGTGTGATTTCAGCAATCAGCTGCCTGTTGGGTATTCCAGCTAACATCAGTGTGATTATCAAACGCAGCAGGCATCTGCGAGGCTCCTCCATGTCGCAGCGCCTTTTCTTCATCTTAGCTCTGTCGGACCTCCTCTCTCTGCTCTGTTTGCTAGTTGGTGGACTTCTATTCTTCACTGGACCACCTTTAACACCTGGGCTTTGTTGGTTTCTATTTTTCTTTCTCTTTTTCTACATCACCTCCAGCTTAAACATCCTGGTGCTGATAAGCATTCAGGGATACTACCAGGTACGCGACTAAAATATTCAGGTTTTTAGAAATGAAGAGGAAGTGGAACGGGTCATTCTGAGCAACGTGTATCTTTTTGTGTATGCTGACGGTTCTGAGGAAAAGGAAATGAGAAACTTGCAAAAAGAGTTTGGCAGACTAGGAAATGTTCATTAAAAACTATTCTTAGCAACTGAACATTCTGTTCAAACTTTTAGTTAATTAAAAAGAAAGTAAAATTCAATTAAACAAAAATAATTTAGTCAAAACAGAATCACGGTTTCTCAGCACAGATTTTATTTCTGGAGATTCAAAATGGCAGAAAGAATTCCTGCCTTACAAAGAAAATTAGTTTTACAGGACTTTAGTAAACATTTCAACTTTCATTGACCTCAGAGCAAAAATTCATCACCAACGGTAGCAGCCCGGAGACACTGGCTTAAGTCTTTAGAGCTCTTTACTGACTTTCCTGGCTTTAGTGGGACTCTCGTTTTCTAAGAAGTGTGATCTTGATCTTTTAGCATTTCAGAGAACAGGATCAATCTAAAAATATTTGTTCTGCTTTCCAGATACTTGATCATACAAAGTGGGAAAAAGTGAATCACATTTGGCAGCAGGGTGTAACGGGATGAAGGAGCTATTCCACCGAAGGTTGTTTACCCTCTCTCCTCAGATACCTCTGACACAGAACTAATCTGCATGAGACTGCCTCAAGGTCATGCATTTGCTTCTAAACTGCTTTCTTTCCAGCTCAAGAGAAGAATGAAGATAAAGGACTCTTTCCTTTTAATAAATCAAAGAACTCTATTTTTAATAAAGCTAATCAAACAAAGTATTAGTCAATAATATAATGTTGGCCAATCTGTGAAATGACAATGTAATGATTAATATGCTTTAATAAGTAATATGACTTTAATCTAGCTGCACTAGACATTCTGACTACACGTAATGTAAATGCATGACACATTGTTTACTCAACCAATCAGAACCTTCCTTTCTGAAGCGTGGCATAGTCTCTGTGGTGTTTATATATCTGCCAGCTTTGGTTTGACCAGAAATCAAAACATCCAGATCAACAAAACCAGTCCCACGCCATCTTAGTTCAGTTCTTAACAGTTTACTGGAGTTCTCTGCAGTTCACCGCATGCTAGAGGAGTATCGGACCGGCCACCCGGACTTCCTTTTTAAGTAAAGAACCAACAAGCTGGACAAAATCTGTTGCATTTTTCCAACCAAGCAACAGTACCTTTCAGAATAAAAGCTGAACTCACACCAGACCCAAGGGGGGTCCATCTGACGCTGTGAACCAACTGTCGCTTTTTACCTGGAGACAATCCAAAGACTAGTCTGTCGTACTGCTGACGCTGTTTCATCGGCTCCAGTACTGAAAGGGGGGTTAGAGGACCTGGCATTCTGGATCTGTACGGAGGTCTCATCTGAAGGGTATGTGCAGAGCGACAAATATGGCGTCTCATGTGTTTATGGAACTCTGATCAAACTCTGATCATAGCTAAAGCAAAACATAACAACATCAATCAGACTTGCTTCTCCGGATACAAGAGTTCTGATACCAACATCACTCACACATACACCATCCATCTCATGTCTCATTCACACCAGATCCATTCATCATTTAGAGTTAGTCTGGTTTAAAATTCTGTAAAATGGTTAGAAATAAATCTTCTTAAACGGTTTAAAGGTGACTCTGTCTTCTCTTGTCTCTCAGTTAATACAAGTGTTACATAATCCCTGCAATAAAAAGTTCCAATCTTCTGGTTAAAATAACCCAACGGTCCGTAAGATTGATTTCATATTTACTATGGAATCTTATGTCTTACAGTCCATTAATTAGATGTAAATGAACTCCTTTACAAGGGTTTACTTTTCACTGTGTGGATGCTCGCAGTGCTTCCGGCGCTTCCAATTGTGTTTTCACTCGCTGAACCCGAACCAAACAACGGTCTGTCCTGCAAGAGTCAGCCAATCCCAGCACTACTGGAGGCCATCTAAATTGTGTTTATAGTGGCTTGCCATCTGGTTGTGTTGCTACCAGCTGCTTGTGCAAGGGCTCAGAAAAATTAAACTGTCTGACGAGAAAAAGCAAAAAATTGCCTAACTCTTCAGTTGGATCATCGCGGTCTCCCTCATTGTTGGGTTTTTTACCTCTGACGGCCCGCGTCGTCTACGTGACAGTGCGCCTCACAGCATCAGAGAAAGTGCTCTCCATTAGCATAAAGCCGACAGCTATTGAGTGTTTATATTTTTTTATTCACTGTCTGAATCCAATGGAGTATTTCTTTGCTTCTCGGGATCAAACAAGAATAGAATTTATTCATTTTTGTTTGTTTGTTGTTTGTTGTTTGTTTGTTTGTTGGTAGGATTATTTATTTATTTAAACATAAAAGCACAAATGATTCTCACTTTCACACCTGCACTGTGTATAAATATGATAATCGCTGCTTCTTACTCATTCTATTTTCTTTGACCAGACTGAAGCTCAGTTTTCACATTTGATTTAGAACTTTCTGCCTTTTTCATTAAAACTGATTAAGCTTAAAATGATTTTTCCCACATCTTTGTGCCTCCGGAGCTTTCCCGGCATTTAGGCCCTCCATCACACCAACTGCATCCCATCTACACTACAGTTAGCAGTTACTGTGGGTCAAAAACGGGACAGTGATAGATGATAATCAGCTACGCCTACCACCAAGTTGTTACAAAAGTCTCTCAATTTATTCTAGTGGCACCAGTTTGGGTGGTTTTGTAGCCAGTTCTATAATGAGGGGGCTGCTTGTTGAAAAACACATTTTCTCTGTTCAGAGATAAAAGGAAAGTCTCATGAGCTAACACACAATATTAGCATACTTGTCAGAAAGATGTTAGCAGGTGGGGAACCAGAGGAAAGTGTTATGTTTCATTTAATGAGTGGGATTCAGGTTAGAGGTAGATCGATGTATCAGTCGCCTGATATATCGGACCGATATTTACAATTTCTTGTGTAAATACCTCCTTTAGTGAAGCCGATTTGAAGTCAGACGCATCCTTGAGCAGTCCGGTGCTGCTGCACAATTTATTTAAGTGTGTATTTATGTCCCTGTGTAACATCTGCTTAATAAATGCTCTAAAAATTTATTTTTATACACCACGTTTGAATATTTAACTCTGGAGCAGTTAATTGATATTTGTTTGATTAACTTTCAATGTCTGATTTAAACACTGACCAGTGAACAAAATTAAGATTTAACAGTTGATTAAATTCAGAGTTCAGAAACTGATTCAGACTTAGAAACTTGGAGCATGAACTGATGTTTTTAGTGACATTTTAGCTTGAAAATAAGGTGAAAATCTGCCCCCAAAATCAGCCATAGGCTGACCATGACCGCTACGTATCGGCATCGGCAATTAAAAAAACCATATTGGTGGATCTCTAATTCAAACATATAAACCATCAACAATAATGCAACAAGCATGACTGAATCTAAACTTCCAAAACTGCATTACAAATAAAAAATCTGATATTGTGTCACAAAAATAAACATTTTGTGCCAAAATAGTAAAATTATGAATCACAGAGAACTATTTTCACTGATATCAGCTTTGATCCAGTTTCTGTAGCAACATCAATGTATCCATCAAGGATGGATAAAAGAAAAAGAAATAAACCCGTTTTTCATTTACATTTCTGGCATTTTGTAAATTAGTTCGGAAAAGATGCAGTTTGTTCCACAAACTGGATTGAAAATAAATGAAAAAGCAGAGCAGATCAAAGAAAAATACATTAAAAGACCTTCAAAGAGCCTGAAGAACAATTGCTCCAGATCGCTTTAGGAGATTACAAGAAGCTCATTTGAAGACAAATTATAAATAAGTCAGGTATGACTGCAGTCTTTTGTACATGATTACATTTTACTGTTAGGAGAACGTGTTTATGTACCTGTCATGAGCCGAGACACAAACGTTTCAGTGAGCTGCAGGAAGCCGTGGTCAATGTACTGTAAAAATGTGTGATGAGGGAGGCAGCGGACGGCAAACACTGAAAGCAGAGTGTGAAAGCCTGGAGGGGTGGGGGAGAAAAACAATGATTTAACTTCCTGGAAAAGGCGCCAGCAAAAAACAACAAGGCTAAAACTGACTACATAATGTGCTACACTGCAAAAACGGATTTCTGAGGAAGGTTAAAAAAAACAACAACTCATTTTTAGACATTTTATCTTATTTTTAGTGTAGGAAAAAGTATTACTTTAAAATAAGATAAATATACTTACATATGATCCAAATTTTCTTGTTTTGAGCAAAAAGGGAAATCTGCCAACGGGGTAAGCAAAAGTCGCTTGACGAGAACCAACAAATCTAATTTTAGATTCTTTTGCTGGTTTTAAGAATTCTAGCCAAGCAACTTTTAAAGTTAAAGTCCCAATAGTCATCACACACTGGTGATCTGCATTTGACCCATCCTCTGGGGGTAGCACTGAGCTGCAGCGACGGCTGCGTTCGGAGACATTTTGGTGGTTTAGCCTCCCAGTCAAACTCTTTAAACCTGAATGTCAAGCGGGGTGGTATTGGGTCCTGTTTATAAAGTCTTTGGTATGACCCGACCATTGATTTGAACCCATGATCTCTCAGTCTCAGGGTGGGCACTCATACCACTAGGCCACTGAGCTGCTTACGTCCATTCTCTCCAAGATCTTGGAAAAGGTTGTGGCTAAACAACTCACAGCTGCTCTTGATGAACATAGCATCTATGGTAGTTTCCAGTCAGGTTTTCGTAGAGCTCATTCTACTGAAACAGCTCTGCTTAGGGTCTCTAATGACCTTCTGACTCACAGTGATGCAGGGGACTGTTCTGTTCTGGTCCTGCTGGACCTGACTGCAGCCTTTGACACTGTTGACCATCACCTGCCACTGGAGAGGCTGAGAGACTGGGTAGGCCTATCAGGATCTCCTCTGGAGTGGTTCTCCTCTGAGCGTTCGCCCCAAATGGGCTCAGTTGGAGAAATATTTAAGAGCTTTTGTCCTGCTCACTGGATAAAACCCAAAAAGAAAAAAAAGCTGTGTAGACCGACACATGTGGTCACCCTATGCCTGCTGCACACCGTCCTGCGCTCAATCACACTTCATGGTGGCATTTCCTGTTTCCTGCTTCTTTCTCACAATAGTTTTGATTTTTATTCATGAGTGACTGAAATGAAAAAAAGTGCTACAAGCATCAGCAAACTCTGTGCAGTGAAGATTTATTCACATGCTGCCTAAGCAGAGTCAGCACATAGCTAATGCTAATGCTAACAGGTGGTCCTGCTCGGTAGAAGCACTTCTGTTTGGTTTATGTTTATTCATTTAGCAGACGCTTTTATCCAAAGCGACGTACAATTTATTTAACTTGTAGGGCATGTTGTGATCTGTGGGGGAAACCGGAGTACCCGGAGGAAACCCACGCATGCATGGGGAGAACACGCAACTCCACGCAGAAGGGCCACTGCCGAGTTTCGAACCTGCAACCTTCTTGCTGCGAGGCAACAGTGCTAACCACTGCGCCACCATGCAGCCCGACAGAAGAGAGACGGACAGGATTACAGTGTGTGTGTGTGTGTGTGTGTGTGTGTGTGTGTGTGTGTGTGTGTGTGTGTGTGTTAGGGGGGGTACCAGGAGGGAGGGGAAGGGAAAGGCCCCGAGTTGACTCTAGAATCCGAAGCATGAAGTGAAGCACAGACCACTCAGCTGGGCTGCCCTGCTGCATCCTGGAGGATTGTTTATATAACATGATACAAAACATTGTGCATAATTTCTACCTAACAACGACAGACTGAGCTTCACATCTGACACCTAAAACAAGTTAGAAAAAACTAAAAGAGCTACTTACAGGCACAGAACACGAGGGCCAAGTTTAGACTTCAGCCACACCGACTCCAGCATGTGCCTGATGAGCTCCAGCTACACACACACACACACACACACACACACACACACACACACACACACACACACACACACACACACACACACACACACACACACACACACACACCTTGCTCCATTAGATTCGGATGAAATATTTTACAGAAACCAGTCACTCAGAAACTTTGCACAACACCAGCATTTCCTCTGCAGTGCCTGAAAACACGCCATTCAGACATTTTCCTCTGCTACGAGGATCCTTTCTTCTCGGAAATGTACACTTGTTCTAACAATCTATTCCCCCATTCAAGAGCAGCACTTTTGTAGCGGCACATTTATCAGAAGGGGCTTGTTTGAAAGCCGCCTGCTGCACGTGTGTTCCCACTGACGCTGAACAAAAACAGGAAGATGGTCTGGCTCATCCACATCCTGAGCACCAGTGGGAAACCTGCACCTGCTGCCAGCAGCAACGCCGCCCCATGACCCGAGGGGGGAAATTTCAATTAGCTTCACTTATGTAACAGACTAGCCTAAAACTAAAAAAAATCATTATAATAGGTTCCTCTGGGCTTTTATCCCTTACACTGTTTCATCAAACTTTGCATATTTGCATACAGCTAATCACCCACGAAGAAGCAAAAGGATTTTAGTCACCAAAAGCCTTTATTAGCACCAGATTTCTCCTATGTTGGTGTTTTCTAACATGCATATGCTGCGTAATCTCATGTTGGGTTTCTTTTGTGCTGGGGAAAGTCAAACAGCCACAGACTCCGTTGGCTTTCCAAACTCTAATAAATCTAACCTAGGCGTAGCCATTTGTCTTGATGAGCGAGCAGTAAGCGGAAACGGGGAGTAACCATGAGGGTCAAATAAACAAGAATCCTGCATCCAGTTTCATTTCACTGCTTTAGCTTCGTTTCTCTGTGCCTTTAAAGCATCGTTTTGGTGCTCAGTTGTTTGCAGAAAGTGGGGCAGGAAATAAATATCGGTGACAATAATGAGTTGTAATTCATCAACGCGAGGCTTTCGTGGCTCCTAAAAGCTGTAATCTATTTCATGCCTAAATTCTCCCTCGTGTCAATGCCGCCATTAGTCTCAATAAGCACCAGCAGGGGAGGGAGATGCTCTGGATCTGTAGAGGGGAAGTTTCAAAGAAAGTTCTCACGGCAGGAGTCAGCTGGACTAGAAGCTTCCGAGCTGAAGCGTCCCTGAAGGCTGCTCTTCGTCGGCCCGTGTTTGTGTTTTTAATAAGTGTCTGTCTGCGTTCCACTCAGCTGAATAAACCCAATAATCGCCTCGTGTGTCTGAGCCAGAGCAAAGCCAAAATTATTGCAGGCGCACCTCTTTCCTCTGCGTTCAATCGGGTTCTGAAGGCGTGGGTTTAAACTCCAGAGCCTGTCGCAGCGAGACGCTGAGCGTGGAGGATTTCTCTTGCTCTGTCATTTGCAAGTCCCAAAACGGGGGCGCATTCTGCTTTCTATTCAATTCCTGCTTTACCCTTGGCCTGATTCATACAGCTGTGCTGATATATGCCGCGCGTCTGCTTTCAGCACCTGAAAACTGCGAAGGGATTTACCTCACAAGAATACTAAAAACCAACTTTACTGAACCCGCAGTCTCAAGGAGACAGGGACAGAAAGGTGGAGAGGTTTTTTTACTTAGTTATGCAAAAAGACATCTTTAATAAATGATAAATGTAGCCTTTCTTTTCTTTAAAGCAAGAAATGGTACATTTTCAGCTTAAAGTTTTTTTATATTCACTGCTTCTGGTCACATAATTAGCTAAAAATAAATCTAAATATCTGCTGAGTTGTAATCCAGTTCCTTTTTATTTTCTCCTTTACAGTTTATTATCTCCATTCTGTCTGGATTGTGACATGTTAAAAACTTCCTCCCCCTCCCTCTCTGCTGTGCTTCAGCTGCTGAGACTTATGTTATTTTTCTGTCTGTTATTTAGCATTTGGTCCGAGTACTTTGTGTTTTCAGTGTATGTTTCTGTGCCATAATGATGTTTTCCTGTTTTATTCTCTTTGTTTATACTTGGTCTCTTCATCATCGCTACTACTGTTTTACTGTTGTTGATTTTTCTCATTGCTGTTGTTTGCTCATTCTCCCTCGGCTGCTTTCACTCTGCTACCAACTCTCCCAGTATTTATATTCCTCAGTTTTCCTCTTCCACTGTTGCTTCTCATTCACTCTTTGCTATCCTGTGAAGCCTTTTTCCCCTCTTCAATCAAAACACCAGGGCCCTCATTTATCAAACGTTCGTAGAAACTGTCCCATACTCATGACCAAAATGTAGAATGTGTGTACGAACAAAGATTGATTCATGAAAGGTGCGGTGGCCTCTCGTACGCATGTTCCTCCGCAATCATCTGATGATAAATCCCACCTGTGCGTACCCAGGTGCTCATGTCTGTTCACCGTCATTTACATACAGAAACACCCTCAATTAACCATATTTGGTCACGTTACGTCCTCAGCACAAGAAGGGATTCCCTGTTTTTTGTCTAGAAAAAATAAAAACTTTATTGACAGAGAGATGGAGACACTGGCTGCCGAAGCGCTAAAGAACTAAACAAGTTGCAGAGGTTATAAACGCGGTCGGGATGGAGGAGAGGTTCCCGTCAGAAATGAATAAAAATGGATTTGATAAATCACGAGTAACAGGTTGTAAATGGCTGCGAGCAGGTGGATTGTCAACGTCACTCATTCAATTGCATGTAAGTGGGCGTTAACCCGGATGTGGACATGGTGTTGGCATTCCACCTGGCTTGGCGTGTTGCAGCAGACCAAGCCTCCATGTAAGTGCGGGTATTTTGACTAAAATTGATTAAATAAGAACGTGTCGCCCTAACAAGTGCTTGTACATTTAGTCTATGGTCTCGCTGTGCCAAACCTCTGTGTGATATTACTTTGATTGCACCCCATGGCAAGAGGAGCAAGGTATTTGTTCTTTGTTTCTGTTTGTTGCTCCTGATTGTCGGCGATTGTCTTTAATTCGTTTGTAAATTATGTATTTTCAGATTTCACGGTGTTTGCACAGTGACTGGCACCAGGTGCTCGGTGCGATTCCGGGAATGAGATGTGTGCATCTACAGCCTGACGCAAATAAAACGTTGCACCTGTCGAAGCTCTCCTCCTTATTTCTTTTGGATGCCAAGGGGCAGCAACACAGGCTTTCATTTACATTTAAGGAGTCGTTCTGTTTGGAGTTAGTTTCATTTGGAAATGTCTGAGCGTGCAGCTTCTGCCTCTCCTGAGCTCTCATTCAGTCTGGTTGTGTGAATGACCGGGGAGCAGAGGTGGTTCTGGGGGGTTCTCGTAGTTTTAAAATAAAATAGGAACTATTAGTCTACCACTCAGCATTAGAGACTCACAATCATACAGTTCCTTCAAATTCAAACTGAAACAATGGTTGAAGGAGAACCAAACCTGTATCCACAAGTAATTTGTCCTCACAGTGGTGTTTTGTGTGTTTTCTTTCCTAGTTTTAAATATAATACTTTACTTTCATGTATTGCTTTTATTACCTGCCCAGGGACTGCAGATGTAAATTAGCACTGGTGCTACAATCTGGCATATTTACTGATGCAAGTTATTGTTGAAGTTCATTAATATGCACAGTCCCTATTAAATAAATAAAGAAATGAAATGAATGAATGAACTGAAATCAGATTTGTGTGGTTTGTCTGTCGCACCACAAAGGGTCCCCAATCTCAGCGTAGCAGAAGGATTTCTTTTGAGATCAGCGTGGTCACGGAGAACGCGTTCCCTCCAGTGTGCATGTGCTGTTAAATCCTCAAATAATACAGATTATACACGATATGTCAGATTCACATCAGTCACTTGTCTTTGATTGGTTTTAGCACCAATTGTAAAAGCCGTTTTTTCACCACATAACTATATACTGGGTAAATATAATTTGTGGATGAGGAGCACGCGTGGATGACCTTTGGTACTGCTGTTCCCCGTTCAACCACTAGATGCTGTTCCTACGCGTGGTCAGAGCTGTTCTTATATTTAGGAACATCTTCACACACAAGTACAGACAGGTAAATACCACACAATGCGTAAAATCGTTCCCACACACGAAATACGCACAGATGTGTTCGCACGTACGGTTACTAAATGAGGGACCTGGATTCTATCTGCCTTCATGCTTTGCATTTACCTGCACAGTTGGGTCCACTCAACTCCAACCCTAACCAAATCTGGAACCATGGGATTAAAACCTAATTTACAGAATACTTTAAAAATGTATATAAACAATATAACTTGTAGCTCCTGCCCACTCTGCTGTGCTTCAGCTCTGCCTTCGAAGCCTCTCCCAATTGCCATTCACCTGGGTGGGTGAGGGGTGGGTTGCTAGCAGATGTGCTCTGGGGCGTCTGATGTTTGTTGCGCATCCTGTCCACAAGGATGCACAAGACCTGCCTCTATCTATCTATCTATCTATCTATCTATCTATCTATGGACCATGTACAATACTAAGCATAAATATTGAAATTTGATGCATTATACCAGATTTAGCTCGAAGCATATTTGCATCTGCAGATCTATCTATCTTCTATCTATAAGGTAACTGTCCTTTTGTATTCAGTTTGGTGGTACAGTGGGCAGAGAATCTGTCTTTCAGGCTGTTTTTGTCATGTCCTGCCGCTGGTTCAATTCCCCCTGTCAGCAGTCATTTATTTTCTTCTTTTTAAGTTAAACCTTTAGACAGTATTATGTTTTTAACCCATTACTGGTTAATAGTTTAAAGGATCAGGACCAGGGCTGGGCGATATGAACGAAAACGTATATCTCATATATATATATATATATATATATATATAAGAAAATACTTTGTGAAGTGTCTTGAGACGACTCTTGCTTTGATTTGGCGCTATATAAATAAACTGAATTGAATTGAAATATCTCAATATTTTCCTTCTATAAATATTTACAAGTTACCTCCCTTCACGCTGTCTTAAGAAATCATGCCCATAAATTCATCAGCAGATTAAATGCATAGAAATGTATTTATTTTTGTCAAATGTTTACCTTGGTGCCATTCTCTAGTCTGAGATTTAGAAATGTTGGTATTTTTTGTTTATTGCATCTAACGGAGGTCTTTTTTTTTTGTCTAAGCCAGACTGTTTGCCGCCCCCTTGACCACTTGGCGCCCTACACACAATGCGTGATGCCGGCGCTGCCCTGGCTTCACTTTGGATGAACTGTAAGGTGCATAGAGGCTGGAAGGCAAAACCTGGGGAATTTCAGTCTGAGAATCCATTGCTGCTGCTCTTTAAGACACTTTAAAAATGTTATCAAAAGCACAAAAATAGTTTTCCAAAATCAGGTGTCTGTAATGTGCTCCGAGAGTGATGTTTGTTTTAGCGAGTGGGGAGAGTCCTCTGATGGCTTCTAGCGACCTCTCTGAAGTAAAGTCAAACCATTTATGTGGAAACTCACAGCCTTTTTTCCACTGAGTGATCCCTGCTGCGCCACTTAGCCTCCAGTAAAAAGGGTAAGAATTAAAATTAAATATAATTTCTGCAGAGCCTCTTCATCTGTGACCAACACACACACACACTCACACACACAGGCTGTACCAACCAGTTTGGCTACATATTTGACAACCAGTAAGTCAGTCTTCTTCTTCCCCAGTCGAGGCAGATGCCGGTTGAGGTGCTCTCGGAGCTTGTCAACCGTCTGTAAATGTAAAAACATGCACACTCATTATTTCCCGTATATGTGGTGTAAAGCCAAACTTTCTGTTTGCATGCTTTTTCATGCATCTTCTAGAAAGTACCAGGAGGGTTAAATAGAGTTCATGCTACATTTCCCGTATGCGACATTTTCCAAAAGACCAGCGGATGTGAGGGGTGGAAAAGAGTCAAATAAATGTGAAAGATGAAAAGGAAACGGTCTAGTGGAGAAATGGGAGGACAAATGTAACGGTGATGTGAATGGAAGAAGTAATGGAGGGAATAAAACGAACAGAAACTAGAAAGCCAGGTCATTCTAAGAATAGCTGAGAGACTGCATCTCCTCTGAACTCCATTAAACTGAAGCTATCTGCTCTTTACCAACTATGCTGAGTACAGGGGAAAGACAAGATATGAAATTGTCCATCAAACATAAAAAAAACAGGACAGGAACCTTAAGATGCCTCCTTTTTTAAAGTGTCGACTCATCTGAAGCGGAACAGGAGCTTCACTTTAACAGATGACTACGGATAGAAATAATCAGTTGTCAGCATTTCGCCGTAGATTCTCGATGGTCTATATATCAGCTCGTGTTGAAGGAAGCATTCACCACCAACTGCTGTTAATGTTGGACTCTCGATTGGTGTTGAACCGCTCCTAGGCCATGTGACACTGAAGCACTTATGAACAGCATCGCATCAACAATAATAACAGTTTCAACTCAAAACAGCTTTTCCCATCAACGTTAAATGTGTCACTTTAAAATCCCATCCAGACAAATCAAATTCTAAACACTTTAAGTTTTTGTTTTTCCCCCGTTTGCTTTTAGAATTCATCATGTTTTGATGCAAATCCACCCGTTGACTTGGCTTTTATTCCTGCGTTAAAACCAATCCCAGTTTATTTTAACATTTTAAAGCTCCAGTGGCAAATTTGGAGAACAAATTAGCTTAAAACTTTTTTTCATGCCCCTTAACAACGTTTAACATAGTAGAGCTATAAATATATTGTGGAGATTAAAAAGAAATTAATAAAAAAGTTCTCTTGCATTTGTCCAAAAACACCGCCAATAGCACGTTTTGGACAGAAAGCAACCACAGGACCATCCGGTTGTCAGTCTCGCCAAACTACCGCTCTTCCGCACTTCCCTGGGTCCTCCATTCATTAAGCACTCATGTATTTAGCAAGAAAACACTACTGGTGTGAAAGGCTCTCCGCTCAATGATATCAGAGAACAACACATTCTCACTCCCAACGCGTCAAAAACAAACGCTTGGTCAGCCACCCTTCGCGTCAGACCCTTGACGCCAAAAGTGCCCTTTTTCGTCACTTATGTGTGAAAGGGGATTTTTCCCTTTTCTGATTGCAGATCCCAATGCAGCGTAAAACTGACGCGATGGGATGTGCGCAGCCAGGGCACCAAACAAGCTCATTGTACCTCACCCTAAGCTTATCCTCTTGTTATTTAACCTTCCCCTCACCCCTATCCTAACCTTAACCATCTTGCTAGCTAACACGTTAGTGATGTGTCCGTCGCTCAAAAAGCCGGCTCTATGAAGTGAACGGCAGGAGCCGCCTCGTCATTGGTTGGGTTTGGACCGAGGCAACGGGAGGGGGAGGTTTCAACTACCAAGGTGGAGGTTTAAAGCAGAGGGTATTTGTAACCTCCCCCTCGCCAGATGGTATGTTCTAACGTTCCCCTTGGGCGGCAAATACGAAAATTCACAGTCAGAATGCATAGGAAACAAATGCTTGATCACAGTGTGAGTAACGTTTTAGATAGCAAGAGGGTTAAGGTTAGGATGAGGGTTAGGGGAAGGTTATAAATTGTAAAACGTTAAAGTTTAGGTGTGGTGAAATGAGCTGGTTTGGTGCCGCATCAGCAGATATCCCATTGCGTCAGTTTTACGCTGCATTGGGATCTGCAGTCAGAAAAGGGAAAAACCCTTTTCGCACATAAATGACGAAAAAGGATACTTTTGGCGTCAAGGGTCTGACGCGGAGGGTGGCTGACCAAGCGTTTGTTTTTGAGGCACTGGGAGTGAGAATGTGTTGCAGAGAAGGAGAAACAGCCGGCGGCTACCACTTCAACTTTAGGACAAACTACCAGAGTCCCAAAAAGAAAAACACCATTTGAAGTCACGAACAATGAAAGAGCAACTGGTGTTTAGCGCTATCTCATTTCCTCTGGCAATGCGGGTTTCCGGGGGAGGCAGATCCAGGAAAGACACCAAAGGGGAAGGGTGAGTGTTCCGTGACCGTGTTTGTGATCATGTTAGCAGTTTCATTAGTAGCTTTAAAACTAATTTAGCAGTTTAGATTAAACATGGTTCCTCCTTTGGAATATTGTTCAAGAATGTTTTTACTGTGACATCATAAGTTAGCAGAAACTGCTAGCTGGACTGCAATAGCAAGCAGCTAAAACATGATGCTCGTGTTTGAGAAACAGTCCACATCCCACACCGCAGATGAGTTAAATTATTTGTAAAATAATTTGTTATTTGTTAAATTTATAACTACAAATAAATTGGCTCCTTTGTAATTAGCTATTAGCTTAACAGCTTAATAGAATTGTTACCAGCCCTTAAACAGGCGGCTGCATGAGGACTGGGCTGCCTTTGACTGCTCTGGGACGAAAAGAGTGAGAACAATACAGTTTTATATACAAGATCAACAAATGTTTCCAATAAGACCAAAAAAATTAAAAAATAAACTATTTAAGAAGCATCAACATAGATGCATCAAATGCAAAACTGATTATTAGGAGTCTTTTGAGGAAAGTTTGCAAAAACATTGATCTGATTTTATTAACTTTTTTTATCTTTTGATAGAATTTATTCATTTTTGTTTGTTTGTTTGTTGGTAGGATTATTTATTTATTTAAACATAAAAGCACAAATGTATTGTTTAATCAGTTTTGTCTATTTTTTGTTAACCGTTCCATCCTAAACATGTTTTCTTTACAGTTGTGGTATTTTATAAAACATACACAAACTTGGATGTCTGATTCATCTCCAGTGTTGATGTCAGGACCAGTAAAAGTCACGTATGCACACTTTCCAAAAACATTTCCCTGTGCACTGCTTCCTCTAAACAGGAAAAGGCCTTTCCAAAATCTGTTTCCTCTGATTTGGAAATCTCAACCAAAGCGTTCAGATTTATTTGCCTGACAAAGTTTTAAGTTTGTGTGAATGCAGGCAGGCAGTTCTCTCACCAGGCCTATGAGTGCCCTCTGTTGATGATCTTCCTCCTGAAAAAGAGGCACCAGCTTCTTATCTGCACAAAACAAACACAGAAGAAAGATTTGATGCTTCAGCTTTGAAAAGCGAACATGAAAGGTTGCCTTGAATGCACCAGCGCAGCGCCACCATTAAACCAGGCCATTGGTCAAAAACAAAAAACTCCTGACCTGTTTATGACTTTGGTTTTTAAAGAACTGATTCATTTATCAATTCTTTTTGGTGGATATTTTGCTTTAAAGATGCATCGCTTTGCCTTGGGGGGGGGGGGGGGGGGGGTGTAAGGCAGCATCCCTGCTGTGCGGGAAAGAGCGCGTCTGCCGTTTTATGTCAGTCTCATGAAAGTGCTTCGGTTTAGTTGCTCGCACACACAACTGTGCACCATCTTTGATCATGCACACAAAATGCAGCTTTTTGATGTTACAGTATCACATGCTAGAGCTATTAATAGCTCTCTTTGGGCAGGGCTAACTTGCAGAAAGTGTTGCCTGATTTGAAGCATGCTAGACAGCAGCCTAGAGGATACTCTCACAAGCCTACCAATTATATATATATATATATTTTTTTATTTTTGCTATATTTATCTATTAATCTTACTGGGTGTGATGGGGATGGGAAAGATTAGAACTACATGGCTCAGGTTGAACAGATGTGCCAGAGACTTGCTGGGTGTCCTGGGTGAAGGATGCTGATGATGGAGCGACACAGTTAGGAGCGAGGAGGCAAGCCGAGAAGGAAGTTTTATGGATGCGGTGGGTGAGGACGCGCGGTCGGCTGGTGTGACCGAGGAAGGCGTAAAGGACGGGGAATGATGGAAACCGATGATCTGACTAAATGACAGCAGACTGTTTTCATAAGCCCACCAGAGCTTTGAATTAATCATCAATGATTTTACTGCATATATACTGTACCTTCAGCAGGTTACCGAGGGGGGAGAAAATGCTAAGTATTGGTGAGTTTTCTGAGATAATTAGCTGCTTTTCCATTCACAAGAATCTCCAAGGATTAGCAGCTTTCTGCATTTGAGGTTTGTAAAACCAGTCCTAGAATAATCTATGGTTGGCATCTAATATAAAAAACAACATCATAAGTAATTTTACATGCTGACTAACAGATGGTGCTGTTTTTGCTTTTTTTTTTTTTGTCACACTTAAATGTTTCAAATCAGCAAACAAGACATCTAAACCAACCAGTAAAAAACATTTGACCCCTAAACCTTATAACTGGTTGTTTGTGACAACTTCATTTATGGGTTTATAATAACAGGTAACAAGTGTTTCACATCACCGGGGAGAGATACAGCTACACTGGAGGGGTTTCCAGTTGGAACGAGCTATTTAAGGTCAAAGGTCAAAGATCTTCCTTCAAGATTTTCTGGTAGAGCGGAATTCAGAGCAGCAAAACAGCCCCAGACCATTACTCTACCACCACCATGTGTAAGTGTTGGTATGATGCTATAACATAACACACACCTCCCACAACATTCCACTCTTGTCTCATCAGTCCACAGAAGAGTTTCCCCCAAAGTCTTCCAGAAAATGAAGGGGATTTTTGGCTTTTGTGGTCTTTTTGGTCCGCAAAGGTTTTGGCCTTGGACCTCTCCCACGAATGCCACTTGTTGCCCACCGTCTCTTTTGCTATTGTTGAATCATGACCTCTGACCTTAACCAAGTGGGGCCTACAGTGCTTTAGGTGTTGTTCTGGGTATCAATGGGGCATGTTGTATTGCATTTTGAGATCTTTCAGATCTTTCAGCATACGTCATGTTGTCAGATAGGTTCTACTGAACCACTGATTCTAGTGATTTCTTAATTCTTATAGATCTGACTGAAATCAGGTCTGGGGTATAGTAAAAGGAACTCAGCTTTGCTAACACAGTTGTTAATTAGTTTTTAGTGTTTATTTGTTTGGGTGTTAAACTTGATAATGTTACTTGATCTTGTTAGGTAAGTGTCATGAGTAGCATGAAGAAGAGATGAAAGGTAGGGAGGTGTCTTTCCCAGGATTGTCTTGTATGAAGAGAACCCAGCGATGGAGGCACCGGGTGTGAAGTGAGGGCCAGCCCACCAGTCAATATGGAGCACACTGATGGGTTTGGAAGTGTGTCAAGTTTTTTAGTGCTGTATTCGGTGCCATTCTACTGTATCTATAATGTAACCATAATCCAAATTTGGACCTACGGTCTTTTGTGAATTCATGAGTAAAGAAATTTCCTTTACACGTGGGAAAAGGGTGGTTTTAATAGTCTTTTACCTCCTAATCGATTAAATAATAATTTGAAAACTACATTTTGTTTTAAATCATGTTGTATTTGACTGACACTGACATTTGTTCACTCCCAGTATTCCCATTATTGCAACTAAGTCTGACAGAAAAGCCAAACATTTTGCAGATGATGGTTTATATTTTTCCCAGATTAAACACAAAGATCAATTTTTTGCCAGCTGAGAAAAATATTTTCATATTCCTTTAATCCACCAATAAAATTATTTACTATTGATGAAGTGGTGTGTTGCTATGTAGTCATGTTACTGATTCTGGGAGGTAGAGAGGATGGTAGCGCAGTGTTTGGGTCGCTGTTTACTTGTGAATCTAGGAAGGCTTGTGGACGTGTGAGATCATATCTATTTCATCTGAGGTAAGGGGAGGTCCAGAGTTCGGGCCGACTTAAAACAGCTGCAGTACGGTCATGAGACAAAAACAGAAAGTAGAAATAAGAGTTGAGGGAGAGGGAAGTACCGAACTCCTCATTGTTATGTAATCCTAGCATTATCTCTATTTCATAACTTCTCCCTCCAAGATAAATTAGTGTGGAGGTTCAGTGACATCTCCGATGGGAACGAAGAGCGCAGGCTCAAAGGGATACACAAACCGGAACACACTCACAGAGTTTGGTGTAACATTAGAAGTCTGAAGTCCAGATAGTGTGTGTGTGTGTGTGTGTGTGTGTGTGTGTGTGTGTGTGTGTGTGTGTGTGTGTGTGTGTGTGTGTGTGTGTGTGTGTGTGTGTGTGTGTGTGTGTGTGTGTGTGTGTGTGTGTGTGTGTGTGTGTGTGTCTTACCAAGACACCAGGTGTCTACCATAGAAAGAACTCTAAAAGAAAAAAGAGAAAACTTTAGGAAAAGCAGTTAGTCAGAATTTTATGAATAGCTATTCCTTAGAATAAAAGCGTTAAAGACCAAGTTCACTCATTTTCTCAACACATTTGCAGTAGTCTAGTATAAATGCATGTCTTGAGAGTCGATCTCTGTAGGGAAGAAAGCCTTGGCGCTCCTGTTTCAGGAACTAGCAGTTAGCCGGAGCAAAGGTGAGACGAAGTCGTCAGGATTTGGAGTCTTACTCATTATTATTTCCTGATATTCAGACATCTCTCCTTTGATTGGCTAACAAAGTCGTGACTCCACTGTTATGGCCACCAGCCTTGCCTCTTCAGGTGAAGGAGCCAGGATCACCCGGCCCCGACACCGCCCCTCCTCCTCCTCTCTTCCAGGCTGCTGAGGAGCACAGCTTAGCTGAATCCTTCTGACGACCGACACCTGGGACAAAAAGGCTGTGCCTTCAGCAGTCTGGGAGGCAGAAGCGCAGGTGTTCTGCTGTCCTCCAGGCCTCAGTTTGTTTCCAACCCCTTTGATTAGATGTGTTTTAACTTTTATTGTTGTAACTCTGAGTGATCCAGAGGGATCGTTTTAAAGGTTAACTTGGTGGTGCAATTTTATTGACCTTGGTTTTAAAACACCTTCTGTTCCGGTAAAACTTTTAACATAAGTTTTAACCAGGTGTTTTATGTCAAAAGATTGTTTTAGAACTTGTATCAACTTTGTGGATTTTGGAAACACCTTCTATTTGGTAAAACTTTTAATAAGTTTTAACCAGGTGTTTTTTAATGTTGGTAATTGCTCTTTTAATGTTAACCTTTTTTGAGAGTTTTGTTTTTTGTTTGGCATTATTTTAATAATGCTTGCCATCTGTTTGCATTGTTTTTAGAACCTTTTATGACAATTAAACCCATTTTAAACCCACTATTGTGTTTCTTATGTTACCCCCTCCTTCACATTTCAACACCTCCTATTGGGGACGTAACATAAATGGGGGCTCGTCCGGGATTTTTAACTGCATCAGGCAGTGAAGGAATGTACAATCCCTTGGAATGACTCAGTTTGCTCTGAAACGTTGATGTTTCAGTCTGAAGGAGTTCTGCCATGTTGTGGAGGTGCTAATGCTAATGGTTAGCTTCTACTAGCCAAGACGTTCTTTGCTGTTTCCTGAACGCTAAACCAACAACAGCCTTCCCCGTCACTTACCAAAATGTGTGAGTCCATGGATGTTAAATTTTAGTGTGACGTAGATGTGTCAGGCTTTTCTAATCTGAGCATTTCACTGTCTATTTTCTATCCGTGGCTAAACCAGGAAAAAGGGGGAGAAGACTATTTTTACCTTTAGCCTGTATGTGAAACTCAGAGTGACCATTTTTATTTGAAAAATAACAAGTAAATGGTTTCTCAGTGAACTTAGTCATTCACACTCCTTCATATTTAAAATGAGCATTTATGTAAATACTAATAAATACAGATTTAGTTTCTGTTTTTGTTAAATTTGACGTAAGATGTACCATACTGTTGAAAGTGTTTTTTTTTATAATCAACTGAACTTCTGGGGTTTTACTGAACAAAAATTGGATTAAGAAATCCAGGATTAGTGACTGAGCTGAGCTCAATGAACCAACAAGAGCATCCAGGCTAAATAACTCCTGTTTTAGAGCCATTTTATCAAACCTACGATCTCTTCTGGTTGTTACCTATACTTTAGATTTTGGCCAGCTCAGTGGCCTAATGGTATTAGAGTCCTCCCTATGACTGGGAGAATGTGGGTTCAAATCCTCAGTCGGGTCATACCAAAGACATTAAAAATGACACTCAGCTTTAAGGGGTTGGATTGGGGGGTAAAACCACTAAAGAGTTCCCGAGCAAAGCCGTGTCTGCAGCTCACTGCTCCCCCAGGGGACGGGTCAAATTCAGAGAACACATTTCACCACACATCAGTGTGTGTCATAACTAATAGGGCTTTAATATTTTCAATCTTGATTTATGTGTTTGGCTTTTATTTACTTCTTGTTTCTTTTCTGCACATTATTTCATTTCAGACCCCCTCCTGTTTGTGTTTCCCGCCTGTGATCCTGTCCCACCCTCAAGCTGTCCACCTGGGTCTCCTTATCTTTGTGTATGATTTCTCTACCACATTAACCTTATCTACCACATTAACCTTAACCATCTGTGTGAAGAGTTAGATTTGCCTCACATTGTTCAATTTCATGTTTTACTATGGTGGCCCAGAAGGTTCAACGAAATACCAAAGCTGCAACACCACTAAGCCTACATGTGGGATTTTACAGTAGGGTTGTGAGACCGATGACCAGGTCCCCAATGCTGCTGTCCTCCATGTATGTTTTGGCATAATTAGTGAATTAGCTTAGCTTCCGTTTTAGCGTAAGTTGCAATGAGCCAAATCTTCCATTTTTTATTAATGCTACTGAAGGTTTTGTCATCACGGTGTGGTTTTTCTATTTTGTTGACCCTAATGGGCCACCATACTTTACTTTACTTTACTTTATGAATTTGCTTTTGCTTTTGTTTTAGGACATTAGCTGATTTACTCTTGGATTTAATTCCACCCTCCTCAGCCAAGTTGGACACACCTGAAAGTGTGTTAAAGTAAAACTTCACTTAACAACAATTATAAAGGACACTCAGATGAAACTTGAAATGACGAGGATTAAAGGATAAAAGCTCCATATGCTCAACCTTTAAAACAGCAGCTTTTCGAGGTTTTAACCTTTTAGCACATCCTTTACAGGCAGTGCCGAGGAGCAGTCATGCATTCCCTCCCTCCTGTTTCAGGACATTATCTAAGAAAGCTCCAGCGGGAGGCAGACCTACTTCTTTGTGTTCTCCTCTATGTGATTCAATTGGCTGGAGAGTCTTCTCTCTGACCTCTGCAACAACAATAACATCAACAAGGGAAGGATGAAAATACACTGTGACCAAAAGCCCACAGGTATTCTGAGAAGGACCGATTCTAATAGTCAGAAGTGATTTATGGTGACAGATGAAAGACGCTCACAGCTTTTTCCCTCTCAGCCTGGATGTGTGTGGTTCTGTATCTGGGATTTGGAACGGCATCCAAATACTTTGTCTTCTCTGCGTTCCACTGCAGCTCTGACCAGAACCTCTGGGCACCTCTGGCCTGCACATCAATCATATAATTACACTCTCAATGTTTTTATGTTAAATTAAAAAGGTAATATCTGGAGAGGGGGTCTGTTCTGTAGCTGATGGCCTCCTGCAGTGTAGTATGTAAAGGTATACATAAAATACTTTTCAGAACTGTCATCATATTTCCCTGAATTCACCCCAATATGCTATCAGAAATTCATAGAACTTTTGATTTTAATACATTTTCTTTAAATCAACATCCAAAAGGTCACACTTATCTAATATTTATGAGTCATATCATTTTCAGAAGTAATTAAGTTTAGGACATTTTGTCCTTACCTTGCCCTTAAAATCAGTTTCAATATGCAGCTCAGTGGTACACACCACACCAGGGATCTCCAGCAAACACACTGGGACCTCCTGCAACACAAACACCAAGCACACAATGAGTGTGTGTGTGTGTGTGTGTGTGTGTGTGTGTGTGTGTGTGTGTGTGTGTGTGTGTGTGTGTGTGTGTGTGTAAGCGCGTGCCTGCGTGTGTGTGTGTGTGTGTGTGTGTGTGTGTGTATGCGCGTGCCTGCGTGTGTGTGTGTGTGTGTGTGTGTGTGTGTGTGTGTGTGTGTGTGTGTGTGTGTGTGTGTGTGTGTGTGTGTCTGTGTGCATGCGTGGTACCTTCTTTTCAAATATGGAGGAGTAAGGCAGGACTTTATCCAAACTGAGACACTTCTCATAAACTATCCTGTACAAAGAGGCTGTGTAGGCAGACGGAGCACAAGCACAAATTAGTTATTTAGACATTCGGAAATTTATGCAGATTTCTTGATTTATCTAGACCTAAACAGGAAGGGAAATCACAAGTTGGAGCCAAATTACTAAACCAACAAAGAATTTCTGAAATGTGTCCTCCAATAATCACACTGTGCCAATACTGTAGTTATTTAATCAGAATCAGAATAGGTTTATTGCCATTGTTAGTGAACAAACAATTCACAAACTAAGCTCCACTAAAAGAGTATTTACTCATCCAGGTGTTCTGTAACCATCGATGCTCAGGCTAATGTTTTCTCTTAGTGGAAAAATGTTCTCATACTAACTTCATTCTCTAGCTGTGCAGATGTGTATAGGTCCTCTGGACAGATGTGAGCAGCAATGAGTCGTGTTTAGCTCCAACTCACCTAAAATGAACTCCTGGACTTGATCAAAGGATTCAAACGGGTTCATGTTGTCACACAGCCACTCGATTATCTTAAAAACAACAGAAGGTTGATAATTATTACTTTTTCACTCATTAAGAACAATTATGAAAACATTTGTTTTCCTACAGCATGAGAGAAATATGGAGGAGTAAGGCAGGACTTTATCCCAACTGAGACACGTCTGAGACTGATGCATCAGTGTTAGAGCTCCTATTTCTATGCTTATAGTTAGCTGAGCTAGTTAGCTTAGTGTGCATGTAAGACCTAAAGACACATCTCTTTGTCAGTTACTTACCAAGTCACAAGATTATGAAAGTAACTAATTATTAAGAAAAATAACTATTTCGTTACTTTTTTCATTAAAGAATGACATGAAAAATGGGTTCCCCTCTTAATTAATCATACTTAAGTTACTATAAATTACTCCAATAGTGAAATGTAAAAGACTAATGACTGGAACATAATAAAATGTATGTCCAAATGTTTGTTACAAAACTGAATAATTGAAATAAATGGGCACTTAACAAGAGGAACTACAATCAGGAGCATTACACTAATCTAGACTATTAACATGTCACTGTGTGGTATTTAACAAGAACCCAATCAGCTAAAATTTCTAATTGCAAATAGAAACACATGTAAAGGTTTCTGTGCCTTTAAATGGTCTCTCAGTCTAGTTAAATTACTGAAATAAATGTAATTTTGTACAGTATTCTAATTTTTCCAGCTTTGCATAATTGTGTGTTGTAGCAGCATTTCTGTTGCTGCTAATCTAGTAATAGTTAAATTAATGAATGAAAACCCTTTAAAATGACACTAGAAGAGGCACAAATCTGATGGAGGACTTAAATGTACTAACGTGGGTCAGACCCAATCACAGAAGAGCTGAAGCTGGGTGGTAAACACACACAGGAAGTTCTAATAACACCTGAGCTCCATGACGTTTGAGACTGATGCATCAGTGTTACAGCGGGGCTAAAGACATGATCAAAAACAGGTTACAGCTGGATGATCTAGGAAGGTAGAAGATCAGGACGTCTCGGCGGTGAACAGGTGGGCAGACCTTCGGGACGTCCCGCTGACACATCAAGAAAAGCACGGCTGTAGATCCACACCTGCAGCAGCGACTCTGCGAGTCTGCATCTGTAACTATTTATCACGTCTCCCTTGTTCTTCACGGGCCGTGATGCGCTGGGATGAAAACATCCGCCTCTTTAGCTCCCAATCAGCTGATGACAGCTTCAACACACCACGCTGCTGAATTAGTAACGCACGCATTTTCTGATCAGTAACAGAAACGGCGTTATGATAAAAGAAGACGATAAATAATTAGTTTACTCGCTACTGAAAAAACTACTTTTTTAGTAACGCCATCATTTTAAATGGCGTTATTCCCATCACTAGTTATTCTATAGAAAATAAAAACAAAGAAAAGCCTAAGGTTCAAATAATGACAGAAATGTCTTCCTGCTTGAAAAGATCAGGGTTTCCAGCTCCGTCCCACATTATTACTAGTATTAAACATGTGTGATTAAAGATTCCAGCTGGGAGAAGGGAGAAATTGTCCAATAATTGAAACAAATACATCTTAATGATAAATGACCTGCACTTGTATAGCGCCTCTCAGAGTAAGGACTCCAAAGCGCTTTATACTACAGTGTATCATTCATCCATTCACACACACATTCACACACTGATGTGTGTAATATATGTGGAAGTATTCAGATTTTGAAAGGTTATAGATTAATAACGTTTCTGATTGTTTAGTGTCAACAACCACTTCAAAAATTAATTTCTAAATACCATAATCAAGTACTTTTGTAGCCTAAACCTATTCAGGAGGTTTAATTAGACTTTTATTTTTGTAGATCCACACAAACTTTATAAGTTTTATAGTTTCAGCTGCAGATATTCATGATCTTGGCCTTGCCTCAACTTTAAACTGTTTATCATTTAAAAGTTTCGTCAAATAAATAGAATAATGAACAAATACTTATAAAGCTAAGTTGGACTCTCATCAGGATAAGATTCACTTTGTCCCATTTTTGGTTCTTTTTCAAAACACAGAAAAGGTTTATTTTATTTATTTATTTATTTATTTATTTACCTTGCTGTTGGTGGTTTCGTTCACGGCTGCAAACATCCTCAGAGCTGACGCTGATGGTGGCGTCAGTTCCTACTCCGTTTATCCGCCACCATCAGCGTCAGCTCTGAGGATGTTTGCAGCCGCGAACAAAACCGCCATCAGCAAGGTAAAAAAAATGAAAAAATAAAAAAAATAAACCTTTTCTGTGTTTTGAAAAAGAACCAAAAATGGAATTAGAAATCAGACAGAGTAAGAACATACCAAAGAGATTCACTTGGTGCCTGAGTATTATTATGTTTATGTTTATTCATTTAGCAGACGCCTTTATCCAAAGTGATTTACAACTCATAACCTGTAGGGTATGTTGTGATCTGTGGGGGAAACCGGAGTACCCAGAGGAAACCCACGCATGCATGGGGAGAACACGCAACTCCACGCAGAAAGGCTGCAGCCGAGTTTCGAACCTGCAACCTTCGTGCTGCGAGGCAACAGTGCTAACCACTGCGCCACAATGCAGCCCAATTATTACAGCAAAGTCGGCTCTTAGTTATGCCTTTTCTCATTATTGTATCATTTTGGAACAAATGGTCTGCTTTCCAGAAACATGAAACTAAAATGACATCCTTCAGGATTCATAATTACCTCAAATTTCACATTTCTTTGATCAGTCTTGATTCCAGTAACCAGAACACAAAGTGGATAAAAAAAGCTAGAAGTTGGAGAGTTTAATTAACGCAGCCGTTCCTTAAGGTTACAAACTCCTATTAACAAAGAAATTGTGTTAAGAAGCTTCATTAGAGGCTTTACTTTGCTGCTGTTGGCCAAACAGTCTGCAAGACTTCTGTGTCCCATTTCCCCCCGCTAGGTGCACTAATGAAGCCGGTGACTCATGTGACCTTTAGAGAAATAATTTATTTCATCTATCGAGCAGCTGGAACATTTTATTTTAGATCTAATACTAATAAAGGCTTAGTCATAGTCAGCACTGTGCCCAAACCGAACATCCAGCCATTCGTTTCTGTCTGTGGCTCTGCTTGGACTCTTGCCCATTTTTATCTTTCTCCTTCTCGCTTCTTTTATCATGTGATTTTATTTTTACTCATCATTTTCTTTCTTTCCACCAACTCCTGGCTCCCAGCTCAAGGTTGACACCTACTGAAGTTACGCAGAAGCACAGGGTGAAGTTTCTACCTCTCCAATAATTCTGCATCAGTTTTTCTTGAATAAAAAGTTCTTCCATCCACCTCAGCTACTGCGATTAACCTTGTGTTTTTCTACCCGTTAATGAATCTCAGCTGGAAGTTCTGGTACGCAGAATAAAAATCCTGATTTTAATCATTTAAAGCAAAATGTCTCATATTTATGTTACGTTTATAACTTTTAAGGACAGGATTTGTAGGCGCAGCCATCTGCTTTAGTGGCATGAGGATCAGGTCTCTGCTTTTTGCAGAGGATGTCTTCCTGTTGGCTTCATCAGAACGTGATCTCCAGCTTTTGTTAAAGTGGTTCACAGCTGAGAGTGAAGCAGCTGGGATGAAAATCAGTTTCTCTTAAATCTGAGACCATGATCTTGAGTCGGAAAATGGTAGAATGCCTTCTCCAGGTCAGGGATGAGGACCTGCCTTAGTGGAGGAGTTTAAGTATCTTGGTGTCAAGTAAGGGAAAGACGGAACGTAAGCTCGACAGGCGGATTGGTGCTGCGTCTGCAGCGATGCAGCCATTGTACTGAAAGGCAAAGCTCTTGATTTACCGGTTGATCTACGTTCCTACCCTCACCTATGGTCACGAGCTTTGGGTAGTGACTGAAAGAACCAGATTGTGAATACAAGCAGCCGAAATGGGTTTTCTCCGCAGGGTGTCGGGAATAGCAATAGGGTGGGAAGCTCAGTCATTCGGGAAGGACTCGAGTAGAACCGCTGCTCCTCCACATTAAGAGAAGCCATTTGAGGTTGTGTGGGCATCTGGTAAAGCACATCCAACCAGGAAAAGACCAAAAGGAAGACCCAGGACATGCTGGAGGGACTATGTCTCTTGGCTGGCCAGGGAACGCCTTGGGAATCCCCAAGAGGAGCTGGCCACAAGCGGCTGGGGAGAGGGAAATCTGGGCCTCCCTACAGAGAAGGGAAGTGGATGGAGGGGTGGATGGATGGATATTGTAAAGTTTCTTGGAACTCCTTAACAGGATTAGTACATTCCTTAAACGTTTGCTCCAATGAACAAATTCTGTACAAGTCGTCCGCCTCTTGTTGAAGATCAAAGTACTGCACAAGTACCATTTATTTGTATTTATTACTGTAGTAACAATGTATTTTGACCTTATAACATGTTTTTCATAATTATATAAGATGAATAATTTTCTGATTGTTATTCTCTTGTATCATGCTTAAGAGTAAACTGTTCTGTCTGCAGTCTGCACCTTCAGCTCCAGGTTTGGATCATCTCCCATGTAAACCAGGAGGCAGTGGAGGGCAGCCAGGCGCTGGGGGTCACTCTTACTGCTGGGACATCTTGAACAGAGAGTAGAACAAAAAACATTTAGACGACTGAAACACTAAGAGAGAAACGACCTGAACAGACGCTAGCTGGAATGAGTAAACAGAAGGATTTATTTCCACACACAAAAATAACACCTACAGAATTTCTCCTTTGTGTTTTCTAAGACGCCCTAAAGAACAACCCTGCATTTTCTGCACAAACTTTAAACATCATCCCCACCTAGGACGTGCGTCTGAACGCAGAATCTGTAGCAGGAAGACGGGGCTGAGCTCGGCTGAGTGGATCGTTCCTCCTGCCAGGTCCAGCAGCTGACCACTGGACCGATCCTCCGTGTGCAGCACGGTGGCGGTCACCGGATCGCACTGCAGGCCCAAGTTCACCTCGTCACCTTTTATTTTTGAGGGATACACAGAAAAAAATATAGGAACATCACAATGAGGGGCGCTTGTTTTTTTTTTGTTTTTGTTTTTTTTGCCGCATGAGTCAACCAGAGTTACCGGCTAGGAAAAGAGAGTGGCAGAGAAGCTCCGGCTGTCTCGTGTTGATGCAGTGGAGAAAATGACCCTGCAGATACACCAGGATGTAGTAACCTGCACAATAAGGCCACAGTCTGTGTTTGCATGCTTCCTGCAGAGCAGCTACCCTAGTATTACTCCTCTGTAGGATGAACACATTCTTCTATGCTTGGGCTATTTCTGTTCTGACTGTAAAACATGCAGTTTAACACTGGCTGGGAACAAAAACATATATGTCAATAAAAGTGTGTATGTTTATGGATTTCAGTGTGTGTGGTGACCTATAGGGATGAAGAGCGGATGGAGCTGAGAGTGTTTCTGGGATGACTTATCACTGCTCAGAGACACTTTGAACTTCTTGCTGCAATCTGCCAGATTCGAGAGGAAGCAAATGAGTCAACATTAGCTCAAGATAAATGACTTCTACAAAAAAGTTAATTAATGGAGAGATGAAGAGTTACTAAGACGACACACCTTTGTGAATTAAAACGATCTTGTAGATCAGGTCCTGTTTGTCCTTCAGCAGCTGGCTATAGCAAACACACATGCTTCCTGAAATTACACCAAAGATTTAGGGAACCAAACATCAGACTCCGTATGCTGCTAGTTTGTGTTTAGAAAAAAACACGAACATTCTCTTGTTTCATCATATTTTGCTTCCAAGCAGCCAGGCATTCTCATTTAAAAAGTGCCATTGGTGAAAGTCTTTAGAATTTTAATTAGCTGCTTTAAAAATTCAAATTTTAAACTAAAGTTCCCAAAAGATTGCAAAAAACTCAGGGGATAAACCAGGATAAACCAGTCTGCTGCATTTACAGCAAACAAGTTGTTTTTTAAAGGTGTACTAGAACAATGTATTTTTTACTATTACGACCTGTTCTTTGAGCGTTCTATAATGCTTATAAAACTTTGTTGGGTCTCACAGTGTCCCAGGAGCCCTGATAAATGCCCAAACACAATCCCATAATAAAGTCCCATAATGGAAACATTGGTTTGCCCCGCCCCTGTGCGCGCGTGCTTGCGTGCGTGCGGGTGTGAGTAGGGGGTAAAAGAATGAGGGACAAAAGAGAGGGATGGTGGGATGAACAAACAAGGAAGAGGTTTTTCCAGTACATCCTGGAACGTTTTATGTAAGCTCTGACATTCTTCTTTGTTGTTTTCCTCTCGTCAATCTATGGCAATAGCAGTACCACAGGCTAGCATTAGCAGTAGCTCAAGCTAGCATTAGTAGTAACTCGGGCTAGCATTAGCAGTAGCTCAGGCTAGCATTGGTAGTAACTCAGGCTAGCATTAGCAGTAGCTCAGGCTAGCATAGGCAGTAATTCAGTATAGCATTAGCAGTAACTCAGGCTAGCTTTAACAGAAACTCAGGCTAGCTAGAAAAAGCTTATGAAGTGTTACACCAGCTTTTCTCAGAACAAACCGTTTCTCTGCGGCCATTTCAAAATTACTAACTTATATAGGAAACCAGGTCAGAGAGGACACAGACTTTTTGGTCTGCTACATTAGACACTACGAGCTGAAAAGTCAAGTTACCGTAAATCCTCTAATACAGGCCCGGGCCTGTATTTGACTCAAGCTCCAGGCCTTTATTGGAAGGAGGGCCAGTATTCTCTATTTCTATTTGAGCAAAATGAACTAATGGTTCGCTGGAGTTTTTGACAATTAAAATTGCGCCCACATTTTCAAAGTTAAACACATTTCTTTTAACAACGATAGTTTCTGCTTCAGCCCTCTCTCCCCTCCCCCTGCGCAGCGGCGGCAAACTCACTGATGCGCCTGCAGCCTCTCGGAGTTCCTGCTGCTCTAAACATTAAAATAATTATTTCATTTTCTGTTCCTCACTTCTGATTACCTTCAATGGTGTCTGTTTGTTGCAACCACCAGGTACAAAAACTAACTTGTTCTTATTTGACTATTTTTCTGTCCTGCCTGTTTATCATCTTCCTGCATCTCCTCTCAATCCTAAAGAGAAACTGCTACCTGGGTTCATATATATTCACCTCATGTTACCTTTGATCTGCAGTTCTAAAAGATCTACCGACTGCAAAAACAGCGGAGTGCTCGCTGCTTGGTGGCCGTATCAGTGATCGGTACGTCACCGGATGACAAGGTGATGCGCCCCGCTCACAGCGAAACGCATCAGGCGCAAATAAAAGACAGAAAACATTAAAGGAAATGAACCAACATGAACGATCGCGTGTTAACTTAGTTTTTGAGGTGGCGACACCTGTTTGTTACTGTGGCCGTGCTCAGGAGGCAGATCTACCGACCGCAAAAACAGCGGAGTGCTCCCTGCTTGGCGGCCGCATCAGTGATCGGTGCGTCGGAGGACAAGGTGAAGTGCCCCGCTCCACAGCAGCGAAACACATCAGGCGCAAATAAAAGACAGAAAACATTAAAGGAAATGAACCAACATGAACGATCGCGTGTCAGTACCGACGCTCTGGCAAAGCGCGTTAACCTCCCCCCCCAAGCGCAGGAGCTTGTCACCTGCTGACAGCAGGCTGCTGTCTTTTCCGAGGGCTGCATCTTGCCGGTCATTATCATGTGACAGCGACTAGTCGACGACAGGCATAAAAAGTCACTATAGTGAAGTTGACTAGTTCACACAACCCCAGCTACTGCTCCCCAGTTTTCTGCAGCATAATCAGCACGTTCTCTTTGAACTTGATATCAAATTTTCGCCTCCTCTTTGTCTCCGCACGGTTAGTTACCTTCGCAGTCTATCACTGGCAAATCAAAAGTGAGACGATGACACAACCGCCCCCCGTACTTGCTTGTTACCACATTCCACCTGGCCACAATAAGAGACCGGCCATTATTCACCTCCGCCGACTCCGACACCGGCCAAAATTGGAGACCCGGCCTTTAATTGAATACCGGCCTGTATTAGAGGATTTACGGTAAATGTGGTTTTAAATTCTAGGACACCTTTAAAATGTTCTGCATTTTCAGTATAACCCTTATGAGCTTAAACCACTAACCCCAAAAGTAAGTGAAGAGAAGCCACTAAACCAAATAAATCACATTTAACAGACAGATATGTATTAAAGATATGAGTCCAATATTACACACTTAGTTGCTGTTAAGTAACAAACTTCTACATGGCAGTTCAGTTTCTCCAATGGTCCACAAACATGTTCTTTTTTCTGCTAATCTCTGACATTTGCATAAGTGTGCAGCTCAAATATGTAACATTGGAGCCTTATCCACTGTGAAAAAATAACAAAGTTTGATCTTATTTGTTTATTATGTTTCCTACTGCCTTTGGAAAGCAAAGCCCTTGTGCTGGGTAATCAGATCTTCCACTAAAACCCGATCCAGTTAATCTCCAGGTAGAATTTAAATCAAACAATAATCTTCTTTTTCAGTTTGCTGCATCATTTTGTTGACTCAGACTTACCTTCTTTATTTCGCCCCATAGAAAAATGGAAAACACAAACATACAAAAACTCTGGGTGTTTTTTTTTAAATAAAAACACGAGAATGTGTGTCATCAGATGAGATGTGTGTATTACCGATCTGGTTTGTGAACACCTGCATCCTGATGAGATCCTTGTCAGACTTCTCAGCATTAAAGTGGTCAAAACCCAGATTAACAAACCTGTTGGAGAAAGCAGCTCAGGATCCCTTTTCTACTAAATAAGGTGCAAAAATATGAAAAATATACAGGTTTTGAAGTGTTTTGAGTTCATTTTTTATCGTTTTTTTTTTCTACCATAGTAACATTGATCGTCTTACTTGACCGTGTGGAAAGAATTGACAGGTAACTCTAAGGTAAGCTCCAGCTGTTTGGAGAAAAACATGAAGGAAAAAGTACAATTAAAATAAAATAAAATATAATAATGTGACATAAATACTGCACCTACAGACTCACCACAGTCTCCCAGGTGTGAGTCAGGTAGAACTGAATGCAGCGCAGCAGGAACTTCTCCTGTCAAACACATTTTCACACACCTTTCGTTAGCCCGTGTTATTCACATCCACATTAATATTTATGCACACGAATCGCTGCACCGCCAGGGTCCGAGTGTGTGTGTGTGTGTGTGTGTGTGTGTGTGTGTGTGTGTGTGTGTGTGTGTGTGTGTGTGTGTGTGTGTGTGTGTGTGTGTGTGTGTGTGTGTGTGTGTGTGTGTGTGTGTGTGTGTGTGTGTGTTTGTGTTCCACCTTGAGCGTGAGGTAGTAGAGTCTTTGTGTGTGTCCGTCCCACTGAACCCAGGAGAAATCGTCCGCAATTCTCTCAGCTATCTTGGACAAACGGTCTGGATTTGCCATCACCTGTTGGCACAAACACATTCACTTGCAGACACACGGACTCTTTTATCCAAAGCTCCTCAGGAGGAGATCATATCCGGCTGCAGAAGGCTGAAACTGACTGTTCTTTAAGCTTGAGTTATGAAAACACTCTCCCAATCATTTAACTGGCTAATTAAGAAGTTTCTACAAATATATACAACTTACCACTCTGTAGCCTTCCTGTTTGCACAGCAGTACATGGTATAGATCCACATCTGAAGAAGCAAAAATGTTAAATTAACACCAACGCAGCAGATTGTCATTAAACCTTCCATTAATATGAAAAACATACATCCATCTTCGGTCAGTAGAAGTAGATGGCTCTCCAGCACTGATTTCCTGTCACATTCTTGATGGAGAAACTAAAATATATTTAAAAAAAATAATAAAGTTCATTAGTTTTTTGCATCAAACAGAAGGAAATAAAGCTGCAAGCATCAATTATCTGCATCAAAGCGCACTTCAAGCACTCAAATATATGACTTTTGTTGACTGCACTAGGAAACAGACTGCTTGAATAAATTGGTGTTTTGTTTTTAAAAAAGGAAGAAATATCTCGCTTCAGTAAAGCATCTCAGCAGGAGACGGCTGCACCAGCGAAGGGAAATGTGTCGGCTTTTCTTGGGCTGAGGTGTCGACATCAAACAGGAGAAAAAGAGAACTTAAACACTCAGGGACAATAAAATCATGTTTTTCTTTGTCTTAATTTTATATATTTAGGAATATTTGATCAAGAGCAGTGCAGCGTGTTCCAGTTCCAAACAGAAAAATGCTTGTTCTTCTTTTCCTGCTGGTGCTGAATCACCTGTAGATGAACCACATTTAAGGCCTGGCAGACTGGGGTTCCTGCAAAATGAAGAAAACTTGACGAGAATATTCATCATTTTCATTAAAATCTTGATTCCCATTCAAAAACTAGTTTGCACTAGTGCGCCTGTTTCAGGACGTAGAATTCAGCTGGAGAAGAAAGTAAATTCAGACGGCAGGATCTGGAGTCTTATTTACTGATATATTTGGACTTCTCACCTCTTATTGGCTGATTGCAACGAAACTCTACCATGGACTCTGTTTGCTTTGCAAAGTTGAAAAATTAGGAAGAAAAATATAATTTAACAGTTTTTGTGGGTCTTCGTCTCACACAAAGTAAGAGGAGCTTGTTTTCACCTTACTCTGTGTTAGATGAAGAACCACAAAAAAGATTTTTGATAAAAACACAGAAAAACGTAGCAAAGAATTAATTTACTGTTATGTTTTTTTGTTGGCAGAAGCAGGCAGGCAGGAGGGAAAAGCATATGCGCAGCATTCATCTTGTAACTCTCAGCAGAACTTCCCCTGAACTCTACACTACACCTCTATATATATTAGCAGTGCTCTGCTTCCACCTAGTGTTCAGTTCATTACACAACATTTACAATGTTCCATGTCCATTACACTTGATCAATAACTCATATACTAACATTTACACATCCCAACAAATCCTACAATGGTTACCTATATCAGTGGTTCCCAACCTTTTTCCCAAGGGACCCCGTTTTTTACCAGTACAATTTTTGGCGACCGCCTCCCATTCTCTCTTCCAGTACAAACATTATTGAGAAATGATAAAAATGTTCAAGCACATTTTAATATGCTTTGATTCAATAGATAACAGTAATAGTAGGCACCAGTACAGAACAAAGTCATTAACAAAACCAAACAGAGCATAATGTGCTTGACAGTTTGTGTTACTTTTCTGAACAATAGTTTCTTGTAAACACTGATAAATCAATTATTCCTTTCAATAAACGTTTGACACATAAAAAATACACTGAGCAAAATGTACTTAAATGTGTATATTACTGTTTATACTAGATTATTTACTGTAAAGGCTGTGATTAATCAACCAGTCCTATCTTTAATGAACTTTTGACACTTGAAAATAAAACAGTGAGCTGAGCAAAATGTTCTTAAAAGTGTGTTACTTTTTCTGTACTAATTATTTCCTGTCTTAATATCAGTAAACTTTCCACTCATGAAAAAAAATGTGAGCAAAATGTAGGCTATAAACAAGTAATAAATGAAGTTTTAACCCCTTAAAGTGGAGAGGTCCTGGCGACCCACTGAGAGGCTTTGGCGCCCCCTTGTGGGGGTCGGGACCCCCAGGCTAGGAACCACTGACCTATATAACGGGACCAAAGTAATCAAACAGACCTTGTGGCTACAGAAATATACTCATTAAAATGTGGGTATGTCATCTGTGCCTCAATAACATTATTTTTGATTAATTCATTAACTGCCAGCCATTTTCTGAATAGAAGGCCCCTGACTGCCATAGTTTTTGAGCGTTTTTACTGTTTTTTTGAAGAGTCACAGGATATTGTGCTCTATGATCATGTGAACACCAACACTACCAAAAGGAAGAGTAGACTCACTTCTGTTATCACGAAGAATCAGTGTTTTTCAAGCTTTTTATGTTCTTTCACAATCCGTTGTCAAACTGTGAGCTTCATAAGCTTTTCCGGTTTGTACCTTGCTTTAAGCACAGCAGCATCCCAAAACGATCTCCTAATTCATGGACTGTCTGCTTCATGATCATATGACATGTGACACACACGGGTGAAGATCAACATCAAACAGTGATGTTTACTCTCAAATAAGGATCGTTCCCAAGTCCGCCCCATTAAAAAACACAATGGCAGCAAGTGGTTGTATTTAAAATGACGACTTTGGTCGTCAACAGCAGTGAATGAGTTAAAAAAATAGCTTGGGCGCAAATTGTCTTGAATGATTAAAATGCAACTCATCAACATTCATTCATTACAAAGCCGCTAATTAATTAGATACATGTTTTTTATCTTTTCCCACCTCTAATGAACATATAAAAACATTATTTAGGAGAAGATGTCTGCGTGATTTTCCGTCTAAGTAAGTTGAGTTCTACTTTTTAGAAAATAAATTTCCAGTAACATAAGAATAAACAATAAACAAAAGGCTCTGCCTTCAGCAGTCTGGGAGGCAGCAGTGCAGGGATTCTACTGTCCTCCAGGCCTCGGATTTTGGTTTCAACCCCTTTCTTTTGATGAGTTTTAACTTTGGTAGTTTTAACTCTGAGTGATGAGCTTTTAATCAATTTCCCTCTGGGATTAATAAAGTATTTTTGAATTGAATTGAATTGAATTGAATTAAAGGGTAAAACTCTGAGTGATCCAGGGGGATTGTTTTAAAGGTTAACTTGGTGGCAATGTTATTGACTCTGTTTTTTTAAACACCTTCTGTGTTTTGTGTCTTGACTGCGAGAGGTCCTCGGTTCAAATCCCGGACGAGCCCCCATTTTTGTTACAAACCCTTAGATGGAAGTTTGTTGTGGTGGAGGGGTAACATAATAACTGGTGTAACAAATGGGGGCTCGTCCGGGATCTTTTGATCCCAAACCTTACTTGGACACATGTTCTCTGGTTTATTGTTATTACTTATGTTTTACTTTTGGAATAGTTCACAGCCGCTCCATTCTGAAACCTTGGTGGTGCATGGTGTGGGAGCGGGGAGATGACACTTCAGTTGTGGCCCGGAAGGCGGATCTACAGGATGGATCATGAGAGGGATTGATCTTCAGTGGGTGAGAGGAACCCGCTTGGTGGTGGAATGTCTGACAGGGACACTACTCCAGCGGCCAGGTGCCCCCCACCCCCACCCCCCACCCACCCCATCCCCAACCCCCACCCCCCTGTTTTCACAGATGGAATATTCCTGCTGTGGAAGCCTGCCTAACGACTCTGGAAATAGGAGGTCAGAATTCATTATCTTCTCACTGTGGACTAAGACTTTGATGGAATCCTGTCTGGGAGAACGGAGTGAGCAGACAGTGGATCACCATCGAAGACAGAGTTCAGCTGGACCCTGCGTGATCAGTGGATGTGGGACTTTTGGGCACCGTTGAGTCCGCATCATCAACCCAGCACTGATTGTCACTTTCCCGCTGCATGTTGTTCCACTGAGGGAATTTCAGGAGTAGGGGTTGCTTCGGATGGCACCGTAGACACAGTAGGCTAATCTTGGTGTTAAACTGGATAGCGCCCTTAGTTTTGACACCCACATCAATGGAGTGATCTCCTCCTCCTTTTTCCACCTGCGTCGGCTGGCAAAGATCAAACCTTTCTTGTCACGACGTGATCTTGAGACGGTAGTCCATGCTTTTATCATGATGCGATTGGACTACTGTAACTCTGTTTTATTCTGTGTGAGCAAGGGCTCAATAGCCAGGTTGCAAATGGTGCAGAATGCTGCTGCCAGATTTTTAGAGGGCAGGCGCAGGTATGAACACATTACTCCTGTCCTGGCTGCGCTTCATTGGCTGCCCATTGATGTAAGGATTCGTTTTAAAATATTTTTGCTGGTTTTTAAAATGTTAAATGGTGTCACTGCTTCAACCGTACACCCCTGCACGGTCACTCTGCTCGGAGAACCTCATGCTCCTCTCGGTCCCAAGATCGAGACTAAAGACACGTGGTGATAGGGCCTTTGCTGTGCCAGGTCCTAAGCTTTGGAACGAGCTTCCTCTCAGCATAAGGGCCTCCACCTCTGTTGCGGTTTTAAGGCAAGGCTAAAAACCTATTTTTATGATCTGTCTTTTAACATTTCTAACTAGTTTTTATTGTTTTACTTATAGCGATCTGTGCATTTACTGTATTTTTATCTATATCTTGTGATATAATGTTTTTATTTTCTGGATTTAATGTTTTATGTTTTTACTTGATCTGTGTAGTGCCTTGGTGGCATCTTTTTGCCTGTAAGGCACAACTTATAAATAAAGTTGAGTTGAGAGCAGGTCTTGAGAAAAACAAAGGAAAGGGGGGGATATGTGATGTAGTATAATTAAAGTGTGAGAAATTTAATTATTTTTAGAGGGGAAGTGTTATGGCCCAGGGCCTATTTGGGTTTCCCGTGTGTGTGTGTGTGTGTGTGTGTGTGTGTGTGTGTGTGTGTGTGTGTGTGTGTGTGTGTGTGTGTGTGTGTGTGTGTGTGTGTGTGTGTGTGTGTGAGGAGATTCAGCACCTGTCTCCCATCTCACTAGATTGCTTCCCAGGTAGACTCTCCCAGCTGCTCCTGATGATCACCTCTGCCAGCAACATAAAAATTAGCCAGCCCTCAGTTCAGGGAGCAGCAGACCAGAGAGAATATCTCTGGTCTGTTGTCTCCTCAGCAGCATTTGGTTTTGTGAAATTAAGTTTTATGTAACAACTTTGGTGGGTGAGTAGAAAACTCTCTGTGTTTAACTTTAACTGTTTTAAGTGGAAAGGAGACTTTACACTTTGCTTTGCTTTAAATAAGACATCACTCGGTTAAGGAAGTTATGTGATGGTCTTTCGAAGTTTTAGTGATGATTTGGTTAACGAGAGAATTTAGTTGTTACTAGTTTTGAGTTGCTGCTGATGTGTCTGTGTTTTGTGTTATATTTATGTAAATAAATGTTTTAATTTTAACACGAGAACATGCATCCTACATTTTTACCCCAGGCTCCCTAGACAGCCTGGATCGTAACTGTATGCAAAGGCATGCAAAGGCTTTGAGGGAATAAAATATTTAAAGAAATGCAAGTCTAGATTAACAGTTTTTTATTATACTTTAAATTATAAGACCTTTTGGAGGAATTTTTATTATTAAAATTCACTCAAATCAACTCAATTAAGTAAACATATTCACATATCACATGAAATAATGTTGTAAATGTGCTCACCAGGGTTTTCTGGTTGGTTTTACTAAAATTAATTGTAGTCTGATTCCCTTTGCACACGCAATAATCTTATATTTCATATTGACTCTTTGCACCGACGTCACCTCATCACATGGGTCTACGGATGGCAAAAGCATGTAAACAGTGAGCATCCGACACAAGTACTAAACAAAGGGAAAAGTAGAGCTTGAAATTGTTTTTGGTTGTTTTTGTTGATGTATTTAGCAACATTTTGCATTCCTTCAACTAGTTCAAGCCCAGTTCAGTTATCAGAAGAAGTAACACACCTATGGAGCTCACAGAGAGAACTTAAGCTAATGTTCTTAAGCTAGCTAACACTTAACTTTTGTAAATACCTCTCTCTGTTCACTGATGTAAACAAGTTCTTGACTTTGTCAAAATTCACCCCACTGTCTTTATAGCATTGTGTTGTAAACATCGTTTCACTTTGCACCGAAGCTGATTAAAAAAAGTACGGATCCCTACCAGTTTTGTTGGTGGTGGTGTCACCGGGTTCAGCTGCTGCTCTCCCACCAGGATGAGACAAGATATGTCTGAACGGCGAACACTCGTACTAAATAAATAACGCGATGTTAACACGTAATTGTACACTGGAACAATGTTATTGCGAAAAATGATCTCGCATTTCACTACAGTGGACGGCACCGCACGTCCTTAGTGATGAAATATCCATCCACCAATAAGTATTATAAACACATCACATCTATCCCTGTCCCTGTCTTCCTCATGAAATATATGAAAGTTAATCTTACCCAGTAAAACATGTTCGCTGCAACAATTTTGTGCGTTCATTTTGTGGTTTTGCCTGTAATCCTTTTTTTCCAGATAAAAGGAAGTGATGCCACCATCACTGGATATCTATAAGGATGGCTAGAGCTACTGGCTGAAACATGTAACGTTGGGCTGGACGATATGGCCTAAAATCAATATCACGATATATTGAGGATTTCACCTCGATAACGATAAATAGACGATAACTACAGGTATGCGCAGAAACAAAAGTTGTCCACTAGATGGGAGTGTCACATATATTACGTTGAGTCACATTTTTACGTGACTCAAGGTGGTGCAGCTTCTTAAAGGAATGTGAATGTTGCCAACCTACACACATCTTTTCATTTTTTTATTATCAGATTTATTGACATGGGAAAAATTATCTCAATAACAGTCAGAAATTTCGATAATGATAAATTTTCAATTTACTGCCCAGCCCTAATGTAAGGAAAATTAATCATTTTTACTAAACTGTGTAAAATAAGAACTAAAAAATGGATGTTCGCTGCAAATCTGAAGATACTTTGAGAGCTGCTAGTCCGTTTGATTGCTCGCTGCAGTTTATATCCGTTCTCAGTCTCCATCAAAGTTATTTGAAAAAACAAAACGAGTTGACTTTACATCCTTGTCAGTTAGTGCAGCCAACCGTGCAGCAAGCTGTTACCATTTTTCTGTTAAATCAACTAAATAAGTGATAAAAGGCTACAAACTGGCTTGTTTTGACCAGCTTCACTTGAGTTTCAGCGTGTGTAAATGCTCTTTTTGCCATCCACCATGGCAAAGGGGGTGGTCCCATGGCATGACGTCACATGCAAAGGGTCAATAAAAAGGCATTCTGCCGAGCTTTTTTTGGACTGTGTAACAAGTTCCTTCAGGGTCAACGAAAAGTTTTTCAGAAAAGACAAAAAAAAACACTTTTTTATTTTAAACTGAACAAAAATCCAAATGAGAATTAATTCAAACAAAGCAATTAGGTTTCTGCAGATTTTCTGCTTGAACTTCCAAAAAATCAATTTCCTGGTCTTTGTGTTTTCATAAAAAAGCTTCATAACGATGACTTATATGCTGATAACAACAAATCATGACCGAGAACGCCAGATTGGGGTAAACACAAAGCAAACTGAAGGAGTGGTAGCGGGGAACTTTCGGGAAGCCCGTGAATCAGAAATTGTTTCACACACGCCGAGCTCAGATAAAGAGCTATTTCAGCCGCCGTACAAATCAGAAACTGCAAAACCCAATTAAACTCTACCTGCACTTTGACTCTGCAGTCCACCGCCTTGAGGACTTTAGTGTTGTTTATGGGATGGATTTCTATCAGGAGTGTCAGACACTTTGATACTGCACAAACAGGAAGGTGAAACAATTATGAAGGCAAACGGTAAACAACAGATTTGAACTATTTTAGGAGAGTGGAGACTTTACTTGGCTTAAGACGTTCCTCTTCGCTGGTGTTTTGAGTCAAACTGACAGCTGGAGAAACAAAAGCAATTATTTATTTACATTCATTTCAATCTTTAAATTTTACCCTTACAAATAGAGAAGATAGTGATGAAAAGGCGCCATCTGCTGTTCTGTTTGGTACTTTACTGTTTCCAGACCTTGACCCTTGGGACCCGTGGTGACACTGGTGTCACAACCAGTTTCAAACATCTGCAAAATTGCTTCTTATGTCAAATATTTAAAACCCCAAGTGACATTCTATCCACACATATATTGTAAATTATTATACTTCTTTGTTAGATGTTTTCCCTACATTTAGATGTATTTATACCAATCTGTTTTCTAATTCAAAAGGGGTTGGGTTCTAAAGGGTAAAATTGAGGTCAACACACACCTAAAAGCGTCTCTTCCTTGTTCAGGGAGCAGCTGCTGACACACACCTGCTTGTCGAAGGTGTAGAGGAGCTATCGAAGGGAAAATGAGTTTATGGAGATGCACGTTTAGTGGGACAAAACAGGCAGACACACACACACACAAACCTTGTTCTGTTTGTTGTTAGAGTTATATTTCCCGATCCTGGTGGTGCCGGTTGATCCCTATCATGACATAACCGAGAAAACCCCACATCAGTATGTGCTAACATGCATGTTTGACCTCTTTATTACCCCAATCACACATTCTCTTTAAACTTTCTGTGTCCATATTGTTATGAAAATCTGCAAGCAAAGCCATAGTTGGATGAAGCTGTGAAAGTAGGTGCTGCAAAAGCAGCTCAGATGGGCCGCTGCTGTAGCACGCCCTCTTTAACCTTCTCCAGCCGCACCTCGTTAAAAATTCATGTAGTATCGAAGATCGCAGTTTCACACTCAGATCGTACTTTTTAATTCTAGCAGGGATTCCAAAAATAGCAAATGTGTCACATTTTTCATCCAGTAGGGCCTAGGTGAGGAGGATAGATGTTTTAGAAAACAGCTTCTAGGAATTTAATAGTTTTAGTATAAAAACGCTTTGAAGGAGACAAGAAGCATACATATATATATATATATATATATATGTATATATATATATATATATATACAAATATATATATATATATATATATATATATATATATATATATATATATATATACGTATATATATATATATATATATATATATATATATATATATATATATATATATATATATATATATATATATATATATATATATGTATGTACTGTATGTATGTATATATGTATGTATATATATATATATATATATATATATATATATATATATATATATATATATATATATATATGTGTGTGTGTGTGTGTGTGTGTACTGTATGTATGTATGTATGTATGTATGTATCTATAATTTATTACGCAAGTTTCATGGCAAGATCATTCTATTCTTTATCTGTATTACTAACCAACAAGGAAAATCTCGAAACCTCTTGAAACTCTGAAATATCAGATTAGAATAAATGCATCCCTAACGGCAGAATATGCTCTTTTACCTTCCAAGAGTAAAGGATGCTCCCATCGCTTTCAATGTTTAGGATGCGAGTGTCCACTGCTTCAGAGTATTCTGGGAAGACAGCGTTATTATAATTATTATAGATGATAATTAACCCAAGATAGCACAACTACAGCTCAGAATTAACACACAAATCATGTAAACAAAAATCTGCATAGTCTTTTTCTGCTGTGTAATCCTTTATTACATACTAGCAAGAGTCCAGTTGTGTACATTTGCTATTTGGATTATTGTAAACATTATTACGTTTGTTATATTACTCATTAATATGCATGTTATCGATTAGATCAGGTAAATGCTCTAAATTAAATTGTGTTTGTCTAAAATCCTGCAGGACTAGAACTCTAGGGTAAAATAGTGAAACAGCGCCATCCGCTGGCTAATTTATGTGATAGCAAAATAAATCACAGAAATTCCGCCTCATTATCAGTTAACAACTGTCCGAAACTGCGAGTTCTATTTCACTTCTCGGTTATTATAGCTAATTTGACCTATGTATGTCAAACATCATGAAAGTAGCGTTACTGGACGTATAACAGACAGCTTTAGCGGTTGTGAACACCTGAACGTCCCACCTTTCACTCGGCAAACCGACGCTTCTTTCCTCAGGATATCAAACACCACATCTTTTTGCAGGTCGAACTTTTCCTCTAATTTCAGCATTTTGTCCCTTTGTTGCTAAGCATAAAAGTACAGTTAGAAAAAGTCTCATTAAACTAAAGCAGCACCTAACGCCTGGTTTCCGCTCACCATAGACGTAATCACGTGACCGAAACGGGTTGGGTTTTTTTTTTCCGCTGAGACACGTCAGAAACAGAAAACAGCAGCTGCAGCGCCTGGTTTGACTGTCTCCCACTTCCTCTTCTTTAACTTATTTGTGCTAAGATGCGGAAATGGCACGCTGGCTGGTCCAAAATGAACACCTCCTTCCTCCTGGATCACAAGCCCGGGAGGATGGCTGCCATTGGCCGGTGAAAGCGTCCATCCAGCGGGCTGGAATCTCACCGCCTCGGCAGCCTCTCATGGAACTTCACACAGTGGTGTGTGACAGCTGCAGTGGTTTAAAGCCAGAGTA